AACATCACCAGGTATTAATGTCTTACAGCTCACATATACATTTGTAATTTTTCTAGGCCTATACAATTTAAAATAAATCTAAGTAAAATAATAATTTCCATAACAATATTTTATTTAAAAATAATATTAAACTTTTAAATACCAATTCTGCTACATTACAATTTTTGTAACTTAAAGGGTAAATTCTGCTGTCACAAAAGATCTAATATCAAGAAGTGAAAGGAACATTTAATCACTTTAAAATTCTTACTTTCAGCTACTGATTAGATCATTTTCATATATTATAAGAGTCTACACTTTTGTCAATTCTATGTAAAACTACCTGTTCTTTTTCTAATGAAAATAAATTCTTTCCCATTTTTAAATAAGCACTCAAGAAACTTGAAAGACAGTTGAAATACTTAACTTAAAGGCAGGAAAGGTCCTCTGGGTTAAACAAAAGAAAAGATCAAATCAAGAAAAGCCCCTTTTATTTTTCATTACTTGTCAGAAAGCACATTTCAGTCTTTACCTAGGAGTAGATAAATCTAAAGGGGATACAAAAGTTTTTATTTTGTTTCAGCAATGTACCCACCCTCCCCAATCAAACTAATTTACTTTGTATTTTTTTCTTCTCTACTATCAATACCTTCCAAGATGTCAATCAGTATTATTTAATGACCTCTCCCCAATCAAACTTAATCATTCTAGTTTTAAACTTCCTGAGGTATATTATGAAACCCCAGCTTTATACAAACCCTAGGAAGAATTTATTTATTTATTCTTTTATTTACATATACCAAACCTCAGTTCAGGTCTGAGTGCAGAGTTATTCTAGTGCATACTGTTCCTTACAATGCAGAGTACCTATAAGAGAGGTATCAGCTTTTTCCTTCTAAAATTTCAAAACTGTAAAGGGCTCTAAAGATACAATTTACTTTCAACTATTTTAACAGATGAAAATTTCGATTTAGAAAAATGACAAGTTAAGAGTTGATTATTTCCTTTTAAAAAGCATTCAGTAAAAGGATTGCTTTAAAATACAAAATTTCCCTCATGCATTTAAAAGACAATTTGTATTGATTCAACTTAGATACAACTTCAAAGAAATATACAGAATATAAGTCAGTTATGAAGTGCTTAATAATACTTCGAGGTAGTAATACAAGTATTAAGTAGCCCATTTTGTATAGTAGAAAACTGAGGTTCCAAAACATCAATGACTTGCCCACATTCATCCAGGTAACAATGAGTAAAGCTGGGACTCAATCCCAATTCTCTTGACCACAAGACCAAGGCCTCTCAGGTCATCACTAATCAGCAAATTCTTATGGAATATTTACTACATGCTTAGTACCATGATAGGCACCTTTTAGAAAAGAGAAATATAAGTCAAAAACTCTGCCTTCCAGCTGAAAATCTAGTTTGGGAGACAGAGCTAATACACATTTCACAGCAGTGACCAATAATATAAGGCAGAATATCATAGGATCCAAAGATAATAGATTTAGAGCTTGAAGTCACCCCAGAGACCATGAATCCAACCCCTTTGTTGTACAGATGATGTAATTCAAGCCCAAAGAATTAAGTTAATTGACCATGGTCAACCAGCTGGTGTTTAAGAAAAGATTCAAAATTAGGTTTTCCTAGCTCCAAATCCAATGCTCTATCTACTACAATCTGCCTCTCTATAATTAAATGCTCAATGTAATGTATGAAACAGATTACTATAATTGATAATGATATAAGAAAATAAGGGAAAAAGCATCAACAAAACATCTGAAAAATATACAGAGGGCAGAAAGAAGTTCAGAAACAAGTGAGTATTGGTACTATCATATCAAGTGTAACATACACTTTAAAAAACAAGCTGTAAATATGGATTCATGGTTAAATGTATCAAAAAGTGAAAAAAAATTTTAAGTACAAGTCATAACATATTTAGATTTCACCATAGCATTAAGATAAGACTCAATTTAATTAAATTCAATAACTGATTAAATACCTACTCTATGAAGAAAATGTAAAGAGCTAAACATTTACTAAACTCTTACTTAGGGAATATGCATTGTGGGGGATGGGGGGAAAGCAACATTTAATAAATGAGTTTAAGGATACTGTGCAAAACTTCAAATGAGGCATAATAGGAGGGCAGCTCTTAAAAGTTGAGAGCACTTTAGCAACTGGTTTGTAATTTATAGTCTTAAGAGAACTGCCTGGGGTACTAAAGCTTAAGTTTCTAGTCCATGGTCATACAGTGTGTGTCAGAGATAGGACTTAAACTTAGGCCTTCCAAGGTCAGAGTCACTATACCACATTAGCCCCTGATGTAGAAAACAAACATATCCAACCTATGATTAGTTTTAATTACAGTTATAATTTTTGTTTTATTATAATGAATGTTTTTTAAAAAGTCATAAAGGCAACAGAAACTTTCTCTAACAGAAATCACAATTACTTTCTACCCTATTATAGACTGTCCAGTAGTTTTATAACTACTTAAAGTGCCACTGTCTATAAAAACTTGTATACTACACCCTGGATCAAAGCTGTTTGAACAAAACATACATGCTAAATAACTTCTTAGAGTTATAATGTATTCAGAATGCTGTATTTATCATCACTAAATTGTCTAAATATCTTCTATAATTACTTTTCCAAATAAGACATAAAAAACACACAAAGATATTTGTCCTCAGGGTTTTCTGGTAAATGTATATGTATAAAGATACTTAGACAATTTGAACTTATGCCCCGAGTACAAAAAATTTGACTGACATATTATTATTTTAAAGTTAAACAATGCTACTATTGAGAGAAGCAAGCTTGGAATTAGATTTGGATTTTTCAGAACAATGACATAATGGAGATAGCAAATAGCAAAAGGAATGTCAATTAACTGAGTAAATGATCTATTCAAGACATGATCTCAGAACACCACCTACTGTCCAATTTTTTAAAAAGCACTCTGAAAAAGGAAGTCTTTTCACTCTTCATGACAAATGCAAAAGGAATAAAGAAAAAAATATAGCAAAACAGCATCATATAAAATACTCTCATGAGTGAAATTTTGGAGGGGCAATATGGTTTAAAAAAATCTTGTTTCCATACTGATTTCACTAAGAATCTGTGTTGTCACACAAATGTCAAACAAACATTAAAACAAACCAGCATTTAGCAAAGGTACTACTCTTTCCAGCCTCTGAACTTTAATCCTCTGTTACACAAATTTTTGATACATCTGCTATAGGCTGTCAATCAAAAGCATACAATAATTTGAAAAATGGATCTTCTTCCTTGACTTGGTTTCCCATACAGAGATATTTAGTCCATAGAATCATAAATTTAAAGGTAACCTCATCTAATCCCTTAATTTCACAGATAAGGAAACTGAGAAGTTAAATGTACTGTCTAAGACCACACACTACTATTAAATGGCAGGGCAATGATCTGAATCCAGGTCTTCTTGCTCCAATCTAGTCTAGCCTACTAACCATTCTCCTGAGTTACTATGAATTTCATTTAAGAGGCTCTTCAACATTTTAAAATTTCATGTGATAACCACAATGTCAAAAAACAAGAGCAACTAGATAACTTCATCTCTTCCCATTAGGACTTCATGTGAGACATTTTCTAGGATAGTGGAAACACCTTTGGTAGGCATACTTCTCTATGCCTCTCTGGAAATAAATTATCAAAAAAGAGTAGAAAGAAATTCCCTCTGTTGTCAGATCTTCCAAACAGTCTTACATGATCTGACAGAGTATGGAAGTTATCTTATTGGAGAAGATCCTTTAAGAAAGTATTTTGCTCAAACAAAAGAAAAACTTCTTTGTAGGCAAAAAAACAAGTCCAATGGAATCTTGTAGTCTTTGTACCTTTCAGTCAATTGTTTTTATTGTAAAGATATGATTATGTTATGAAATATTGTTTACAAAAGCCTATTTCCTTTTCATATTCTCATCAAATGTCTTCAGTGTTTCTAGATTAATCTTACGCAAATTTCATAGAAATGGGAGAACAAGCCCATGTTACAGTAGTTACCGTTATTTTCTTAAGTACTTTTTCAGGGGCAAAAGGTCCAAAAATTTTACTAAAAGTTTGATACCCTCTCTTTCAAATACCCACAGGTTCACCAATATATGTGCTTGGACAGACACTGAAGAAAGACAATGAAAAACTAGGGCCAGAATTGGATAACAGAAATGCCCAAATGCTGCAACATTTGTTCCACCAATCCTGGATAGGCAATGCAAATATACATTGAAAAACAGTTCAAAATTGGGTAGGAAGAAAACTGGATTGCCTCTGGGAAATTGTACAGCACTTTAAATGATTCCAAGCTTCTCCCTGAAACAAAGGAGATAGTCTTTTGCTATTTGTCACAAAAACTAAAAATACTTCATTTTTATAGTTCCTTTTTTTTTTTTAAAATACCAGTACTATTCTGATGAGACTATATGGCCAGGAATCATCGAACAGGTGTGGATCATGCAAAATGGTTAACAGAGAGGCTTGTGGTAGGCATGAATAAGCTAGAATATAACTAACAAGGCCTGCACCGATGAGGCAGCTTAAAAGACAACATCAGAGACATAGATGAGCAGAAACAGGATAAGCCCCATAGCAAGAGTGGAGGACAACCACTGGGTAGACCAAATCATACAAGTCTATCCATATGATGTCAAGGGGCCTACAGAAAGGTGTCCAGAACAGAGTATAGCCCATGTGGAGGATGAGTGGAGAACATAAATGTCATCTATCCTGATAGATAAACTGAAATATGAATTTCTACTGTGGTCCCTATTACATTCAGGCTTACAAATAAGTAACAGTAACTCACATTTATGTTGTGTTTTAAGGTATATAAAATATTTTCTTCATAATACAATGACGAAAAAAAAAAAAAAACCAGACCGAACCACCATGCCAGTTTTGATCTTCCACACAGGCATATATGACTGAACAGTAAGTAGTGTTTATTCCATTTCATGATATTGCTGTAAATTCTGAAAACCTACCTCTCTGCTCGAATGGTACCACTGTAATAAGGATGATCCCAAGGCATCAGTGTCTACAATAAAAAGATTCAACTTTTCAATACTGGGAGAAAATCAGAAACTTTTATTATTTGCATCTTCAATAACTTAACTCATTACCTCTTCCCCAAACTTAGGAGGGAACCCCCACTTCTTAGCATCTCTACTTCTAGCAAAGGTAAGAGCACACAAACCAACAATCTAGGTTTGCATCCTTGGCATTATCCTTCACTCCATATATTCAATCAGCTGCCAAATATGAATTAGCTCATGGTGTGCAGTGGAGTCAGGAAGACCTGAGTTCAAATCAAGCCTCAGACACACATTTATCTGGATGACCTTGGGCAAGGCATTTGACTTCTTTCTGCCTCAGTTTCCTCAACTGTAAATTGGGGATGATAATAATAGCCCCTATTTTCCAGGGTTACAGTGAAGATATAAATGAGATAATATTTGTAGGAGCTTTGCAAACCTTAAAGTGTTACATAATTACTAGCTATAATCAAATCTTGTCATTTTTATCTCACAACATTTTTCAACTACACTTGCCTTCTCATGATTCACACATAAACTATCCTGGTGCATCTTCTCATTACTTCTTACCTAGACTATTGCAATAGCCTCTAAAATGTTTTTTCCTACCTCCCCACTCCCATCTATTCTATATATAAGATGCCACAGACATTCATAAATAACACAGGTCTAACCACGTCACTACCACACTCATAAACTCCAAACCTCCCTATCATCTTTAGGACCAAATTAAAGCTCATCTGTTTAGCTCTTAAAGCCTCTCATCATCTGCCCCTAATCTACCTTCGAAAGCTTAAGCTCTATCACTCCCCTTTCCCCTTCAGCCCTCCCACACCAGCCTTCTTACTCTCTCCCTCCTATCTCCCTTGCCTCTGTGCTACCTGTCCCCCAAGCCTGGAAGGCACTTCTACTTTACTTCTGCCTCTTGGAATCCCTTGTTTCCTTCAAAAATCTGTTAGAGTAACCTCTCTTACAGGAAGCCTTTCCCAATGTCCCCAGGAGCCAGGACCCTCCCAACCAGAATTTGCAATCACTTTGTATGTCCCCTGTCTGCCCTTTGAGGGTAGGGACAGTTTAATTTTGTGTTTGTATTCCTGCCATTTAACAAGCACTTTATAAATGCTTCCCAATAGATTATGTGACTAAACTTAGGAAATTTATAATAGGAACACATACTTGTTACACACAAATTTTATATAAACTATACATAGGACAGAAACTGAATCTACTCATTTTAATATCATTGGTCATCTTTATCAATCCTTATAAATAGCTAAAGAAAAAAATATATTTAAAAGCAATTCAATTTTCCTGAAAGTATTATGAGATACAATGGGATCATAATGTGGCAGCAGGGACCTCATGGCCTTATCTCATTAAGATCTCTACGTGTTTGAAGAAAACCCGGGCACATTCTACCAACCTTGATTCAGGGGATAGGCTTGAAATAAATCATTATTTTCTGGTACTGGAAGCACAGCCATATTTGAGAATATTCAGAAGAAGCTACACATATCTTACAATTAATGACCTACTTTCAGTGGCAAATAAATGTGCTTGAATGCATTCAAATCTGAATGAACTAAGCTAAAAAGTTTCCAAAGGAGAAAAAAAAAACCATTCCTAGAGAGGTAATCTTTGAAGTATATGTATGTTCCATTCCCAAGAGCTAGAATTCTGTGTAATTTCATCAGAAGGAAAATATTTGGGAGCCAATCTACCAAGCAAATTCATTACTTACACAGACTCAATTACAAAATGCTTTACAAAGAAATAAAGAACAAAACAAAATTTTGTAAAAATTGCAAAAATAAAAGATATAAAGATATATAAAAATAGATTTTTAAAATGCCATGGATAGAGGCACCTAGATCACATCCTTTCAGAAACTTTAATAATCACCAAACTCAAATATCAAAAAAACCAACAAAAAAAAAAAAACTTACCGAATTTAGAGGATTTAGCTTCATTTTCATTCCTTTCATCATCTCAAAATCTTTTACAGTCCTGTAAGGTAGTTTTACCATTAGTAATTGTTGGGATAAGATTTAAGTAACTGCTTGACCAAGGAAACTACCCTGTTGCAATTACTTTCAAATACTCAAAGACTGAACTCACTACAAATTAAAATACCCAGGCAAATTCTTCTCCATTCTCTCCTATTCTTCATTCCCTAAAAATCATCTTTTTGGAGTGATCCTGTGTAAAAGCATGAACATTAAAATAAGAATTACAAAAATATGAAACTACAGATAAGTTATCTGTATAGTACTGCTTTTTGCTCTACCTAAAAAGGCTGAGACCAAGAACATTTTTAAAATAAATTTTAACTGACGAAATTCAAATGCTATGACAAAAAAGGATAATAATTTAGAAATTAAGCTATGATTTTTTCCTCTTAAATCACCAGAAGGATTTCAAATGTGCAATGGTTAAGAATGCTCAACATTTTGAAATTCTAAGTACCATAAGAATCACAGATGACTCTCTCAAATATAACTACAAATTATAAAGTGTCTAGCTAAATTATAATCTATAGCTATACATAAGCATTATTAGAAAAAAATAGTCATTAATAAACTAAAATAGGACAAGTTTTTAAATGAAAGCAAAATTAACACAAACTCGTCACTGTATCAGAAAGAGCTCCAGTATGGATTAATATAAGGTAATATTACTACTTCAGGGAAAGTAATCCAAATTATAAGATAAGAGGCTCTAATCCAGACCTGCACAACCTGTCACCTGCCAAAGGATTTTGGGCACCCGCGAAAAACATCGTCACAGGCTGCCCAAAATCCTTTGATGTGCTACAAGCAGCCCACAGGCTGTAAGAGGCCCACAGGCCACAGGTTGTGCAGGCCTGCTCTAAGCTCTCAATTATAACCCAGTAAAGGGACTGAGAAGTCACAAAGAAACTGTTCTAATGTGCTGCTCTCACCAAAAGGAGAGTAATATGCTGAATATCATTAAAAATAAAAAAGAAAACATTATCTTTCTCTATGATAATACCTTAATGCACCCAAACATGGATTCAGAGTTTCTCAAGAAAGATATACTGAGAGTAGTCATTGTCCTATAAAGAATAACTAACTTGATCAAAGGGATGAGGAAGCTGTCATATGTGAACATATTAAAAAAGATTATGACTATTCTGCCTATAAATAAGAAGGTTATAAGGTATTGTTATCAAAATGACCTTGGACAAATCACTTCCTTTTCAGACCTCAGTCTGTTTCAACAGTAAAATAAGAGAACTAGACAAGATAATCTCTACAGTTCTTCCCAATTCTAAATTTTATGAAAATCTATAACATCATATTTCACTAAATCACAAAAGGGAACTAAACATAGGGTGATTTAAGAGGCAGTTTGATGTTGGGGATAGAGGCCTGGATTTAGATTCATAAGAACCTTAGCTTTAGATGGTATTAGCTATGTGATTTAGTTTCCATGGGTCTCAGTTTTCTCATCGATAAAATGTGAGGTTGGTTTTGATAACTTCAAAGGTCCTTTCTAGCTTTACAATCTATGATCCTTAGAATCTATGATCCTGTGATTTAGGACAAATAAAAATAAAAATAAAATAAAATAAATTTAGGACAAATAAAAAGAAATACTTTTGTACAAAATAAACAGTAAACACAACAAGGAAATATAGGCTAAAAAGAAAGCTTAAATTTTACAAATATTTACTGAGTACCTACCATGTAAAAGGTACACTGTGTAAGGCAATCCAAAAACAAAATTCCAAGTAACATTTAGGCAACTGCATGATAACATATCCATAATGGGTTACTAAAAGAAACTATGAACTTGAGAACGTTGAAACATTCTCAGCATGGTTGATGTCCCACACGTTTGCTTTGATGACAATACTAGAACTCCAAGGAGATAATTCATGTTTTTTCTTCTGTTATAAATTAAATATTTTACAATAATAAATACAAATGTATTTTATAAAGTGAAGTAAAAACTAACCTTTCAGAAAGCTTCTTAGACAATTTCTCAAGGAACTGTGTTACAATCTCTGCAAAAATAACAAAAAGAATAGACTTAGTTATAGAAAAATGATTAACATACATTAAAATTAATATAAGCTGATCACTATGAATTTCTACAGATCAAGATGATGCTCCAGGAACAGGGACAAAAGGGCTTCTCAACAGTCTTTCAAAGACAATTTCACTGTCAGGCTTTTAACTCCTATAGCATTTGTGGTCTGTACCAATTACAGCAGCTAGGCGGCACAATGGATAGAGCACAGCACCTGTAGTCAGGAAGACAAATCTTCCAGAGTTCAAATTTTGACCCTGGGCAAGTCACTTAACCATGTTTGCCTCAGTTTCCTCATCAGTAAAATGAGCTTGAGAAGGAAATGGCAAACCACTCCAATATCTATGCCAAGGAAACTCCAAATAGGGTCACAAAGAGTTAGATATGACTGAAAGGACTGAACAACTGTGCATGTAAGTAAAATAAATTAGGTGACAATATTCAGCCTTGTCATACTCCCTTCCCAATCTTAAACCAGTCATTTGTTCCATGTTCAATTCTAACTGTTGCTTCTTTTTTTTATTTTCCTATTTTCTTTTTTTTTTTTCAGTAAAGCTATCAATTGGATTTTGTTTTGAATGTTGTTTTAGTTTTAAATCTCTTCTTTTGGAATTTCCTCTTATTTTTTTTTTGTTCCCTCCCATACCTACCATGTTTAATAACTTGTATCCTTATGTAACATGTGTATATAGATCCCTATTAATCAACAGTGTTATCAAATGTGAGACAGTGTTATTAAACTTACAATTGATGTTCAAGTCGAATGCTATTACTGATAACTCTCTCATGATTGATAAACTACTATTATTACTGTTAACTTATGTTATTTCTAGCTAATTCTGTATATTTAGTATTGTTCAACTTTTGCTTACTTTCTGGCCAATTGGTGAATTTCCTCTAGCTATGGGTTGGATATTGGATCATTGCTGTGAAAAAGGAGTATCAATAAATGTGTCAGAGATTGTGCTAAGTACTGGGGACACAAATAACAAAAAAAAGAAAGCCAATTCCCTGCTTTCAATAAGCTTACATTCTAAAAGGAGAGACAACACACAAAAGGAAACAAAATAGGGGTGGAGGGGGGACGGAACACCAGGAGGTACTCCCTAACTGTTGCTTCTTGACCCGCACAAAGGTTCCTCAAGAGACAAGATGGTCTGACGTTGCCATCTCTTTGAAGACTTGCCACATTACGTCGTGATCCACAATCAAAGGCTTAAGTGAAGTCAATGAAGCAGAAGTAGATGTTTTTCTGGAACTCCCCTGCTTTCTCCAAAATCCAGCAAATGTTGACAATTTGGTCTCTACTTCTTCTGCCTCTTTGAAAACCAGCCTGCACTTCTGGTAATTCTCCATTCACACACTACTAAAGTCTAGTGTGCAGAATCTTAAGCACAACCTTCCTGGCATGTGAAATTAGTACAACTGCTGAGTAATTTGAACACTCTTGGCATTGTCTCTCTTTAGGATTGGGATGTAAAGTGATCTTTTCCAATACATTAGCCACTGCTAAGTTTTCCAAATTTGCTGGCATATGGAGTACTTTAGGATGCTTGAACAGCATTATCTTTTAGGATTTTCAATATCTCAGTTGAATTCTGTCACCTCCACTAGCTTTATTGTTAGCAGTACTTCCTAAGGCTCGCTTGACTTCATTTTCTAGGATGTCTGACTCTAGATCAGTAACCACATGACTGATAACAGTTATCAGTGATATTAAGATCTTTTTTACATAGTCCTGCATATTCTTGCCACCTCTCCCTAATCTCTTCTACTTCTATTGAGTCAATATCATTTTTGTCTTTTTTCATGCCCATTTTTCCTTGACATCTCTAATTTTCTTGAACAGATCTCTTGTCTTTTCCATTCTATTGTTTTCTTCTATTTCTTTGCATTGCTTATTTAAGAAAACCTTCTTATCTCTCCTTGCTATTCTCTGGAATTCTGCAATCAGTTGGTTATATCTTTCCCTTTCCCTTTCCCTTTCCTTCTTTCCTCAACTATTTGTAAAGCCTCATCAGACATTTTGCCCTCGTGCTCTTAGGGATGTTTTCGATGCTACCTCCTGTACAATATTGTCAATCTTCATCCACAGTTCTTCAGGCACTCCATCTACCAGATATATTCACTTGACTCCATTCAGTACGTCCACTTCACATTCAAAAGAAATGTTATTCACTTCATATCTATAAGGTCTGGTCTGATGGTTTTCCTTACTTTCTTCAATTTAAGTCTGAATTTTGAAATTCTGAATTTTGAAATAAGAATCTGAGCCACAGTCAGTTCCAGGTGTTGTTTAAGCTGATTATGTAGAACTTCTCCACATTTGGCTGCAAAGTATATAATCAATCTGATTTTTATATTTACCCTCTGGTGATATGCATGTGTAGAATCTCCTTTTGGGTTGTCAAAAAAGAGTGCCTGCTCTGACCAGCACATTAGGTTGACAAAACTCTTAGTCTCCACCCTGCTTCATTTTGTACTCCAAGGCCCAACTTGCCTGTTATTCCAATTATCTTTTGATTTCTTATTTTAGCATCCTATTCCCCTATGATGAGTGTGATATCTCTTTTTGATGTTATATCTAGAAGATGTTATAGGTCTTCATAGAACTGATCAACTTTGGCCAAGGCAAACTGTTCAACATCATAGTAATACAAGTCTATGCTCCAACCACTGATGTTAAAATCACTTAAAGCTTTGAAAAAAAAAATCCCCAAACATAGCACAGTACTCTAAACACAACAAATGTATAATATGTCACTTGGGGGAGGATCTAAACCTTTATTTTGTCGACATAGAAAATTTCCATTGTGGAAACTCCTTCCACAGATACAACTTAGCAATCCTCTCCAACTTAAGTCTTAGTGTTATGTGAGGCACTGAGAGGCCTAAGTGACTAAGTGAACTGTACATCGTGCAAGTGTGTATCATAGAAAGGACTTGAATGAATTCTTTCTAACTCCAAGGCAGGCTCTCTAGCCACTACTCCCTGCCTTCACAATAAGTATATATGGATAATTATAATGATCTTTTTAGAGGAATAGAATTTGATTAATAAACTATATTTGTGACAATCAAAACTTCCACTTTATGGGTGGTAAGAATGAATAAGAAATTTATAAATGGGTAACTTGAATACGTAAGAAATTTTTTTTTCGAGATTGAGTAGAAACAGTGGGAAACAAAAGAATCTATATTTTTAATTTGTTTCAAGAAGTGGAATGGGAGAGTTCAGAACTAGGTTCTGATCCAACCTCCAATACTTATTGCCATGGGCAAGTCACTGAACCTCTGTGAGCCTCAGTCTCCTCATGTGCAAAATGAAGATAATGACATCTGTAGTTTATACTTAACATGTTAGCTGTGCGGTTCAAATGATGTCATACATGTAAGGTATTTTGCAAACCTTAAAGCACCATATAAATGTCAGCTATTATTATAATTTCACTGAGGACGGGAAAATGTTTAAAATATGCTATAGGCAAACTCTAAAGAAAATAATGACTTCCTGGAATTAAAAAGTTAGAGTCTGATTTATACACAACTAGTGCAGAAAGATGAATGATCTCTTGAAAACTAAAATGGGGGAGCGGTGAATTTCCCTATGAATAACAAAGCAAAAACCTGAATAGAAAAATCAGAATCAATTAATCAATAAGCATTTATGGCATTGTGCTAAGTACTAGGAATACAAAGAAAGGGAAAAAACATGAAAATAGACCTTGCGTTCAAGGACCTTACACACTAATGGAGGAGATAACGTGTAAATAAATAGGACAAGCTAGAAAATTCAAAACTAAAGCCTGATATAAACTACAGTTTTACATAGCACTCTTAAGTATTGAAAACACAAGCCATTATATTCTTCACTTCTATACAACTGTGTGGTCTGTTCATATAGGAAATCCTTAATTCTGAATATGAATTTAACAATTTTTACAACGGATTTTTGTGTATATTGCCTTAGCAAAAATATGTAACTGTCAGAAAGATTATATCTTTTTTTTACCCAGATAATATTTGCATGTGATTTTAAATTGTTCCCTCTTTACTATCTTTTATCTAAGTTAAATGAGACACTGCAAACAGGACTGGAATTCAGGATTAAGCAAATGGTCCCTGAGCTTCTTTGTCTGGCATTAGAACAGAATTCCTCATGCACAACTGGCTTTCTATATCTATAATCCTAAAAATACTGTCCCAAATGAACTTTTAACATTTAAGTGCTCAAAGGAAAAGTTACATTAATTTCTACCATGGAAGGGATAATAGTTGAACAAGCTGTGGTATATGAATATAATGGAATATTATCTTATTGTAAAAAATGATGAAGGGGAGGATTTCAGAGAAATCTGGGAAGATTTACAGGACTGATACAGAGTAAAGTGAGCAGAAGCAGAAAATTTTTTTACAATAATATCACCGTAAAGACAAACAACCTAAAGAGACTTTAAGATCCCTGATCAAAGCAGTTACTAACCATGACTCCAGAGGACTCAGGAAGAAGCACGCTACATACCTACTGACAGAGAAGTGATGGACTCAGTGTACAGATTGGAGACATAATTTTTTTTGGACAGGGCTAACAGGGTAATTTGTTTTGCCTGGCTATGTATATTTGTTAAAAGGAATTTGTTTTTCTTTCTTTTTCAGTGAGGGAAAGAGGAAGAAACTTAAGTACATAACAGAAAAGATCACCAGACAGCGGCAAGGGCCCAATTGAAACTGAATAGCATAAACCTATAGAAGATGAGGTCTGCATCATTCTGTATCTTCCTCCAATAATACTTTGTGACCAGGAAGAAAGAAAGAAACAGGGAATGATGGAAATAACTGTTGGCTGGATTGGGTAGAAGGTCTTTGGGGCCTCATTAAAAATGCCTAATCAAAGCATTCAGCCCAGGTTGGAAGCAATAGACCTTTGTTTAGTTTTAAAGCTGTGAACAGGAAAGCATGCTGCACGAGCAATAACTGATCAAGACTTAGCTTACTTATATAGAACTAATTGTGACCAAACATAACATAAAATTAATCTACCACAGTTAGTGACATGAAGAATTAACACTAAGCTACATAGTAATTAGATAAAACTGATAAGCAGTTCAAATAGATTATAATTTTTCTTGTTTTTTTTACATAGTTAAACTGAAATTTAACTTTTTAGTCCCTTTGTTTCTATAATCAACATGCATGTGAACAGTTTTCTCTAACTTAGACTTTTAATAACGATCTTATTAACTTTTAATCTTCTAATCTATTAATTTAATTTAATCTACTAATTTTACAATTTATTAACCTTTTAATAATGATCATAACCACCGATACTACCCAAAGATTAAGGGAATCGAAATTGCTTAAAATCATACGAGAAAAAAGTAGGACTTCAAATTTAGATTAGCACAGAACTAACATGAGAATGGATATGATGGCCTAGGATGAGAGGCAAAAAAAGAAGAGTGTGACAGCACTGAACCAGGGTTTGAGAGCAGGGAAGAGATGGAGGTTAAAAAAAAAACAAAACCAAAACTTTACGGGAATTCAAGAGACAAAAACCGTGCAAGTGAGTTAACACAATCTCTTCCTCATGACCTTTTTATATAATCAGCAGCAGCATCCTCTTTTCTAGATATCCTCCCTAACCTATCCATACTTTTCTTACTCTTATCCCTTCCTGCCATCACTTCTTCTTGCTAAGCCATATGAAGATATACCATAAGAGAAAGAGGAAAAATGAGGGGCAGCTATGTGGCGCTATGGATAGAGCACCGGCCCTGAAGTCAGAAGGACCTGATTTCAAATCCAGCCTCAGACCAAACAAACACTTGACACTTACTAGCTATGTGACCCTGGGCAAGTCACTTAATGATCATTTGTAAAATGGATGAAACTTTTCCTACCTATCCTTCCATACTTCTTGATTTTTTTCTGTTTGAAAGGGTGAAGAAGGGTAGATTTTTATACTTTTCTGTTTGTGGAAAAGAAAGTTTGTAAGAAAGGAAAGTTATTAGTTATAACATTACAAGAGGCCACAAGTCTTCTAAGCTGAAAAACTTGAGAATATCAGCAACACAAATTTAAATTCTAGGGGGCAGCTAGGTGGCGCAGTGGATAGAGCAACGGCCCTGGATTCAGAAGGACCTGAGTTCAAATCGGCCTCAGACACATAACACTTACTAGCTATGTGACCCTATTATTCTCTAACATTCTTACTGTTAGCCCTCAAGATAGCAAGGAATCTAAAACAGGAATCTAAAAGGAAATCTAAAATAATATAGAATCTAAGTAATTTAAAAGGAATCTGAAATAATATTGAAACAGATAATTTTTCCTAAGCACTAGTCCTTCCCAAACACTAACCTTCCTTTTGGAAAGGTGGTTTAGAATAATACATTTTTACATAAGCCAGACTACATTTTTTTTTGATCCATTCCCCAATAGAAAGACTGCTCATTCTTCCTCCCTTTTCTCAAACCAAACTACAAACCATATGCCTACTTAAACTAGAACTTAAAATGTACACACATGCACGCATGCACATAAATATACACACACCCTACACACACTTACAGAAACTTATGATGAATATACTTCTCACCTGGGCTTTTAGCTATTGTTCCTTGAAGAGCTCTATGTGCAAATGTAGGATAGCCTACTAATTTTGCCAGATGATCTCTACTGCTAAGTAATTCATCTAAACAGTTCAGCTGGTCAGGATTGGGGTAAAGAAAAACCTTATAAGCCACTTCTCGTACCTAAATTCAAAAAGTAAATGATAATTAATATCAATTCCATTACATAAAATTTTATTTAATCATTAAAAAAGGACAAATGCCATCATTGTATATCTGCTCCTGAGGATTGATATACTCATATCCTTACCAAAAAGGTGTATAAAATGACTAACAGGTATTTGAAGACACACACTGTATAATGAACCAACCTATGTTAAGATCTTCAAGGAATGGCAAATACAGACTTTCTCATATAAACTTCAAAAGAAATTTCATCCCTAAACAGGATTTTAAACAAGTATGGACCATTTCCTAGACAGAGCTCTAATGCTTAAATCACTAAATGCAAAAATGAATTTACCTATTACTTTATAGCTCTAAGCTTCCCATTTGGCTTTATAATGCTAATTTAACTACATGCTACAAATGGATTATACCACATGAAGTAAATATTATTTATGATAATAATCTGGGTCACATAAGAATGGGGTATTATTATACTGGTCCTCAAATCTGGCTTATATAAACCCTGAGCTTGGCCTGTAATTGTATTCTTTGTTCCATATAGCTTCAGCCTCATAGTCTCCCTAGTTGCAACAACTACTAGCTGCCAGAAATGGCACCTGTGCCAGGTGCCCCCCAGCACATGGGGCTGCAAGGTAAAGAAAGTAAATTCCTACTGAACCCCATGCTCCAAGACACCTGCATTATCCCTACCCCAGTTCCTTAGAGGTTGGGATGGAATCTCAGTGCAAAGGTCATCCCTTTTCATTCCCTTCCCTGCATCCTTAAGGTTGAAGCAGCTGTAAGAGGGGCTTCCTCCACAAAGGAGGAATCATCCTCTTCCTCCTCCTAGCCCCCCACTCCCACATCCCTCCTGGCAGTTCACACTTTTTCAGCTGCTCTGTTTCAGAGAACCGCCTGGGACTCACAGCTTCAGACTGATGACCAAAGCTACTGTTCACAGCTATAGAAATTCAATTTCATAGAGAAGAAAAAAAGGCAGGGAAGGGGAAGTAAGAGTGGAGTATCTGATACAGTGTTTGAGCTTCCAAACTGAAGTTAAGGGAGAGAATGTCCTAGGAGTAAAGTGAGAGAAAAGAAAGCTGAGAAAGGGAGACTAATTGAGAATGACTGACCTTAGATCCCAAATCCCAACTTTCTGCATTTTTTTTATTATTCTAAAGTTCCCCACTTTCCCTAATTCCCTTTAACTTTTCATGAAGACTACTTGCGATTATAAAAGCTTTTTGATTTTACTTTAGAAAAATTAAGGTTTTTTTTCTTAAATAAGTACTTTTTCATAATTTTTTATTATTTTTCAAAAAATATTTTTGCATTTTTCTCCTTTGGAAAAGATTTCATTTTAAGGATAATCTAAATTAGAAGCAAAACAAAGGTAACTTTTTATTTATTATACCTTAGAAGACATTATGAGTAGCATCAATAATAAATGCTTCCCTAAGAAGAAAGTAATTTACTTCATTTAAGGTTTTTGTAACAATTAGTGACTATTTCTATTACTAGGCTTACTAACATTAAAGTTTTTTAAAAGATATTCCTATAGCACTGCTGAATTATTTTAAAAACCATAGATACAGCCATGACTAAAAACAACTTAAAAACCTTAAATGTGATTTTAAAATACATACCAAATCATCTGAAGACTCTGCATGTAAACTACTGACTAGTGCATGATTTCCATCATGTGCAAAGTTATAGAGGATATGCTCTGGTAAGAGGTGCTTGTCAATTTTGTTGGGAAAGTGGGTTTGCATAATAAAAGCACTGCTCAAATCCAAGATCTTAACATTAAGGTCCACTGCTCTTTTACGCTGTATATGGAAGAAATAAAACACAATGTAGTTCGATTAAATTTTAGTCATTTAAAATCTGTTTTCTACAGAAATCCAGTAAAGATTGTAGGTCCAAATAAGGCCTTTTATGGATTACGGTCTAAGTTAATAATAATTTAAATATAAACTTAGTTTCTTACAAGAATATAAGAAGACTATTCTTAAAATTTTACAATGATTTCAGGTTTTAAGATTTGCATAAAATCAAAATTTCCATTATTTGAGTTATATCCTAATTTCTGAAGATTATACCATGCAGGGCAACTATAATACCTTCAGAAGAAAAAAAAAACTGTCCCTAGTAACACTCTAAGAGACAAAATATTAGGCTGGATGGACTTCCCCAGTATAGTATTTCTTAGATCATTTTGTGGTTCAAAAAGAAAATTTCAAATGTTTTAAGAAAAAATTATAGAAAATACTGAGTGGTATAGAAAATACCGAATCTTTAAAAATGCATTTAAATGAAATCTTTCAAAAACAATAAACAAAGAGGAAAATGATTGAAAACTACTTCTAATTCTTCTCTATAGTTAATTTATTATTAGTTTGTATCTCAATGGAAAGTCAAAGTTTTCATGGAAAGAAACCTTCACTTTGAACCCTATCTTGCCGTCCACCCTGATACAGTGCCTATAACATCCAGTATTTTCTAGCTCTAGAAACATAACAAAAATCAATACTGCCATTGTTACTGGGAATAGAGTCATCTGGAATCTATTCCCCTATGGATCTACTTCCTGAGACTTTACAAATCAAAATACTCCTCCTCGGTCACCATTTCCCTGTCATCCCCCATTAGAATCTTAAACTCCTTGAAGGCATGACCTATCTCACTTAAATATTTTTATTTCACAGTGCTTGGAACACACTCAGTGAATAATCATTTATTAAATATCTACTATGTGCCAGAAACTGTGCTAAGCTCTGGGATAAAAAAGAAAGACCAAAAAAAAAGTCCCTGCTCTCAAAGAGCTCACAATCTAATGTAGGGGAGGCAACATGAAAATATGTATAAACAAGATATATGAAAGATAATTTGGAGATAATCTCAGAGGGAAGGCACTAGCATTAAGGGGGGATTGGAAAAGGCTTCTTGTGGAAGGGGATTTTAGCTAAGACTTGAATGAAGCCAGAGAAGCCAGCAGACAGAGATAAAAAGGGAGAGATTTCAGGCATGGGGACAGTCAATGAAAACGCTCAAGAGTCTAGTAGATAGAGTGTCTTATGTGAGGAACAAGGAGGCCAGTATCACTGAATCACAGCATACATGGGAAGGAGTAAGGTGTAAGAAGACCGGCCAGGTAGAAGGGGGCCAGGTTGTAAATGGCTTTGAAAGCCAAACAAAGGATTTTATATGTGATCCTAGAGGTGATAGGCAGCCAGTAGAGTTTGCTGAATTGGGGGCAAGGGAAAGATGAAGACGGTCTGATATAATCAGGCATATAATTCAGGAAGATCAGTTTGATAGTTGAATGGGAGGATGTAATGGAGTGAGACTTATGGCAGAGACAACAAACAAAAGGCAATTGCAATGGTCCAAACATGAGGTGATGAGGTCCAATACCATGTTGGTGGTAGTGTCACAGAAGAGAGGGACACATATATGAAAGATGTTACAAAGGTAAAATTAACAGGACTTGGCAATAGATTGGATATGGGGGAAGAGATGAGAGAAGGAGTAGTCTAGGATGATCCAAGATTGTAAGCCTGGAAGTCTGTTGGTTCCTTTCATAGAGAAGTTTGGAAATAAGGAGAGTTTGGAGGGGAAAGATGATTCAGTTTTGGAAATGTTGAATTAAAGAAGTTTGAAATGTCCAATAGACAACTGGATATATGAATCTGGATGTCAGGAAAGAGGTTAGGACTGAATAAATAGATCTAAGAACCATCTATAGATGATAACTGAATCAATGAAAGCTGATGAGATCACTAAAAGAAGCAAATCACTTGTGCCTGGAGGATTTGCATTGTAAGGAGACAGGTCATGGCCTGTGAGATAGGGATGAAGGAAATAACATGGCATGACATCTGACTGACATGAAATGAGGAGGACGGGAAAAGAGGGAGCTCTCTGTGATTGGCCTCAATTTTTTCAGTGAAATATGGGGCAAGGTTCTCAACTGAGGTGTGTGGGGGAGAATTATTGGAAGCTTGAGGGGAAATGAAAAGGTTTGGAAAAGCAAGTGGGATACTAAGAAAGGTGTAAAAGGACTGCCTTGCCACAGTGAAGACCCAGTTGAGATTAAAATACTTTTTTATTCATTCATTCAATTTTTCATTAATCCTTCTATCAAGAACAATTTATACACTAGGTCGACACATATTAGCTGTGTGAAATTACTTTACTTATTTAAAAATAAGTTTTATTTGTAAAACTGGGTTAATAATATAAATATGCTGCCTACTTCACAGAGATGGTCTAAAGCTCCATCAGGACATTATATCTAAAAGCACTTTGTAAAATTTAAATGGCTGAATTGAAATAAAATGAAACCTATTTGCTAAGAAATCAGGCTGTATTTCTCCTGGTAGAATAACAAGATTATAGTTTAAGACTATGCCATTAGATATGATCAGTGTATTGAGTTCTCTCTCTTAACTGTATACTTCTTCATTACAAGGGAGAGCTATCGTCTGGGAGAAAAAATGTATAGGGGGTCAGAAATATTATTAAAAATACTCAAAAATATTGTAAAATGTAAATCAAATTGGTAGGTGCCTGGGGGCTATGACTATGTTTCAGATTTCTTTATGTTCCCATCACCTAACACAGTACCTTGTACACATTAGGAACTTAATACACATATTTATGTGTACACGGGTACGGCTTAGTGATGGACTTTGCCGGTTATCCAACTACCAATCTGAATTCCAAAAGGATCATTACTAACCAACAGGTGAATTTGGGGGTACAGCAATTTAGGAAAACCAATAACTGCCTTCATAATTTCATTCTTAAGGGTTTCCCATCTTTCCAGGCTGTCTTTCTCTGTAGAATTTTAAGCAATAGGATCTTACTTATCCCTTCTCTAAAGGTTTTGAAGCCTCCTCTCCTAAAATCTAGGGAACAGGTCAGGCTACACCCAGCTTTCCTCATCTGCCACAAAATCTATAGTGAAAAAGTCACCTCTTCCCAAGGTTCCCATCATTTCCACCCCAGCAACCAGTTCCTCCTAGCCCTGAACAAAGTTCCCCTTGTGGTTTCCTCCACTTGCTCAAGAATTAAATAATCATACAGGCAAACCAAGAAATTATTTCGTGCTCTACGTTGGCCAGAGAGTATTCCAGGAAACACTGGGATCACTAAAATTCTGCATCATTCCTTTATCCTACTTCTGTGCCAGATTTACCTTATTGATTTCTTCTGTCTAGGTGATCTACAGTACAACACCACAACAATCTCATGCATCTGTATCTCCCTTTGAAGATACTCATAACAACACTCTCCTCCGAGCCTTCCTCTGCGGGCAGCTAGATCTCTCAGATGGGTGATCTTCTTCACATGGAATGCTGTAACAATATTGTCTGTCCCTTTTTTTCACCTAACCTGTTTCTCCTGAATAAAACACATTCTTCCAAAGCCATATTCTAGGCATGTATCCTTTCCCACCAAGCCTCAGAAATACCAAATGATGTCAAATTTGCTTCCATGGATTAGGATCTTTAGTTCAACTCGCTATGGCCACTTCTTCTATTGTGCGCACTTATGGAACAACAAAGCCTTGGATTTTACTGCTTTCTTAGGAGCAGTTATCTTGTGAAACCATGGGTTTTCTCTGCTACTAGTAGTTGTCTTCTTATATTTTAGCTATCCTTGATGGTTTTTAGTACAGCAGACACCTATAAGTACTTTTTTCTTTGTTCCTTTCTTCCTGTATTAAAGCCATCTTGATTAGATTTTTTTTCAAACTCCAGGTAAAAACAGTCTTTACTCATTTTTCTTAGGTGTATTCCAACCTTGGCCAGAAGCCCATCACTTTTTATATTTTATTCCTATGTTACTATCACTACCAACCACAAACAACTGACTCATAAATGTTGATTTAATTCCCTTAATTCATCTAAGGATGGCATGTGGGACAGTTATTTAAATAAGACTTGTAAATGCATAATCCTACAGAAGAAGTTCATGAATTCTAGTGAAAGATTTAGCAATTTTCATAGACTAAAGAATTAACTAGTACAAAGGGTATGTTATGGTACAACACCATCTGAAATATGAGAACTTTAAAGAATTTGATCCTATAACAAAGATACTAATTAATCTGTAGTGAAACAGGGTGATAAATCAAAATAGAAATAGACAAAATTTACCTTTTCTTCATCCAAATGGATCCCACTTATCTCGAAATCAAACATAAATAATTCTGCCACTTTCCTAAAAATAAAATTATTCTCATTACATATAAGTATTAATAAATATTTTCCCATCATAATTCTTTTGACAAAAAAATAAAAATCTAACTTTAATGTGCTTACTACTGGTGTGACCTGAGCAAGTACTGTGCTAAGCCCTGAGGAAGATAAAGACACAGTCCCTTGCACTTCAAGGAACTTGGGAAGAAAGTTATTTCCAAAGAGTCTTCAGTGTCTACTTGGCTAATCTAACTATTTCAGAGAAGAGTATATTTTACATAAGTTATTTTAGAAAGGGGTAAAATACGTTCTTGCTGGCACATTTGCTGGATACTAAACTTCAAGGTAAAAAGTACAAAAATCAATCAATCATCTGGCTGTTTTTGTCTTAAGGATGGTGTTAAAACACCTGGATGGTTAACTGAGTTTCCACTTCTCACTCAGTTTTTAGCATCTTTAAAAACCAAATAAACAAACACGCTGATAACTGATTGGGTTTTTTATTCATAAGGAAAGGTGCTTTTTTCACTACACCACTACACCACAGTGTCTTCCTCGTCTATTTGTGGGTTTAAGGCCTGTCCATCCTTTAAAACCCAATGCTGCTTCCTCCATTAAAGCTTTCTTGCTCCTCCTTGACCTTTAGGCCCATCATTAACGCCCTTTTCCCTCCCTTTTTCCCCTTGCACTTTACATAGCATTTTGTTTTTTACCTGTCTTATGTACTAAGTACATATTATAATTTTTTTGTTTTGCTTTTATTTTTTAAATTTTTTTTTTAATTTTTAGTTTTCAGCATTAATTTCCATAAGTTTTGGAGTTTTAAATTTTCTCCTTCTCCCTCACCTCTCCCCTCCCCAAGATGGCATGCAATTATAATTTTTAAAATAATAAACTACGTTTGTGTCCTAAAGAGGCAGTATGATGCAGTAAATAAGAAAATCAGTCTCAGAAGAAATACCTATTGCAAGTCCTACCTCTGACACACACAAGTTGTGACACTGGGCAAATCACTAACTTCTCAATGCTCTAGGCCAGCGCTCCTGATGGGGTCGCAAAACTGAATGTGGGGGTTGTGAAAAATTTGGCAACAATAAAAGATTTCTGAATGTACAACAAAAATTAATTCCAAATCAAATGTGTAATGAATCCAAGGAGTTTCTGGCAGGGCTTGCCTACATTGCATAACTTCACTTTAGCCTTGATTCTGAACACACAATATGCGCACTTTGTACTGCACATGCCATCACACCATGCAATGTCAACAAACACTGCCAGAAACACCTCAGCTCAGATTTGAGACTACTGTATGCTATGAATTGCAGTGTTTTCACTGTACATACAAAATCATTCAATGAATTTTGGCTTGGGATTAGGACAGAATTTCCAACAAACTTCTTTGTAAACATACTTCGGCCATTTTGTACTATGTATTATTCGAAGCAATGTTCTCAGCATTGACAATTATAAAATCAAAATATCAATCAACTCTGAAAAATACTAAGGATGCTCTACATCCTGCAGTATCAAATATTCCACTGAAATTTAACTCTTTTGTAAAAATAAACATGCACATCAATCTCATTAGTATACAAATTTGCTTTTGTCTTTAAAAATGGTAAAATTATATGTATACCAAAGAATTGCCTTAAAATAAATTTATTTATTATTTATTATAGTAAATGTATGATTTGTCTATTTTTATTACCTATATACCCGGGGTCGCATAAAAATTTCTTGGTAAAAAAGGGGTCCTGAATGGAAAAAGTTTAGGAAGCTCTGCTCTAGGCAACTCTTTAAGATGAGGAGTTGCAGAGATAATGCATACCTTCATGATACAGGAAGTTTCCTCATCATGGAGTATCCTATACCATAAAAAATTACTCTAGTCCTGGTGTGTGTGTGTGTGTGTGTGAGAGAGAGAGAGAGAGAGAGAGGGGGAGAGAGAGAGAGAGAGAGAGAGAGAGAGAGAGAGAGAGAGAGAGAGAGAGAGAGAGAGAGAGAGAACTATAAGGGTAACAAGGATGAAGTCTTATCTAAAGATCACATCTCTGCCAAGTCCGAGCTCAACAGCTCTGCACACAGAAGTTAATAAGTAGCTACTGAATTATTAAATAACAAAAAAATTAGTAAAAAATTTTAAATCATGATTTATACTTAATAGTTTATTTATGTATCCACAAAGCTCAAATCTCTGATAACCAAAGTGCTTGCTTATATATGTATTTCAACTCCAACCAAAATTCACTAATTAAAAACATAACACTGGTTTGTATTTGGGCAAATTTTCCAGTTTCTAGACATGAGATTTTCCGCCTCTCTTCCAAATAGTAGCAGCTCCATGGAATATTAAATTATTTGAAGCTATGATAGAAGCCCAGCTCCTTAACTAATGAAAGCTGTTTTTCTTTTATTCTTCACAATTGAAAAGTTTCTCAGGAAGATCTCTCTTTCTCTTGGAGCATTTTAAAATATCAGGGGAATTCATGCTTATTGAACATCTGATGTACTATTTTGGCTTTCCACAACTATTCAAAATGGAAACAAAAAAATACTTCCTGTTGATCACAACAAAAGCTTCCTAGTTTCTGAAGATCAAAGGTACTTTGAGTCCATTTAAAATGAATAAATCTAATGGTACAAGCAAGGTGCTATTTTGAGTGACACCAATACCATTCTTAATCTACAAGAGTGAATTAATCAACAGAAGCATGTTATCAGAATTGTACAACTGATCTGAGGATCTCTACTTAATTAACTTTTACCTAAAGTAAAAACTTTTAATCATTTGATCCAACTGCCAAACTGCCTCCTATGTCTCCCATATATTGCTCACCCTTCAAAGAGATTCAAACTTTGACTGCTTTATGAGACAAATTTTTAAAAAATAATTTGACAAGGGAACCTATGGAAAATATATATATTTTTTAATCAATGCGATTTCTTTGCTTTTAGTTTAAGAATCCTATGATAAAGATTAATGCTGGTTAGCTGCTACAAACACTTAGAATGACACCATTCAAATGGCTGGTGTAATTTTAATTAGACCATTATTTTGGTATATGTATTTCACAGTAAAACGAATCATCATCATCATCATCATCATCATCGTAACAATAATAATAATAGTAATACTCAGTAAAGGCAAACTATACATAACACTGTTTTATAAACAGAAATTTTACTTATTATGATCACCAAAGTACTGAAATTTTAGTTATATAATTTGTTGTTGCTCACTTGTTTCAGTTGTCTGACTCTGTGACCTCATTTGGGATTCTCTTGGCAAAGAAACTGGAGTGGTTTGCCATTTCCTTCTCCAGCTCATTTTACAGATGAGGAAACTGAGGCAAACAAGGTTAAGTGACTTGCCCAAGGTAACACTGCTAATAAGTATCTAAGGCTGGATTTGAACTTAGGTCCTCCTGCCTCGAGGCCTGGTGCTCTATCCACTGGACTATGTAACTGCCCCCAGTTATATAATACTCAAGCCTAAAGTTATAATTGAACAATAAACTACTTCCCACATGTCATTGATTTCATCAGAATTCTAAGAGGAAAGCTGAAAGGAGTTATTTATTCACTTACTCAGCAGACATTTATTAAACACCTAACACATAAAAGACCCTGTGCTGAGTGCTCTGGGGGATAAAATGATAATTAAAAATACACCCTCAAAGAGCTTATAATCAAGTAAAATTACTGTGATGAAGCGATCAAACACACATCTGTAGATTTGTAGCTAAAAAATGATTTCACCTAATTATGTTATTAATAACCTAATTCTTTTGAATATATTATTTTGAAAATATAGGTCCTGTTATTGACTAATCAAACATTGTTTATTAATGATAACCATAGGTTCGTCCAAAATTATTTAAAACAGAATCATAGTTATTCTACATAAAAGCCAAGAGCTATAGGAAGAGAAAACCCTTTCTATTTCCAAATGTTACAGCTAGTCCAGCTATCTAATTAAATAGGGAATCTGTCTTAGCCTTCTTATGGACATAGATGGATTTCACTAATTGACTATGTTCTCTCAACTCTATCTTTTGTTTCCTTTATTCAATTCAGCTTCTAAAAGAAGTAAGACAGCAGGAAGGGGAGAAAGGTAAGATAAGGAAGGTAGATGGAGGGAGTGAGTAAGGAAGGAGGTAAATATTCACAAACTTTGAACATATGACATAACCTCCTATTTCATTAAGAAGATGCATACTAACTTCACTCAAAGTGAATCACAGGCCTAAAGAGGACCTTAGAAATCATCTCACCCAACTCCATCACATAAGTGAAGTCTAGCAAGGCAAAGTTACTGATTCCAAACCACACAATGTGGCTAGGCAAGGACTAGAACCCAAGCATCATGGCTTCCATTTCATTGTGCTTTTCCACTATATGACACAATAATAATTCATACACATTATATATATATATATATATATATATATGTATATGTATAGGATTTTAAAGTTTAAAAAGCATTCTTCTAACAACCATGAGGTTGTTATCAGCCCCCTTTACAAATAATGAAACTGAGGCTTACCAAGGTTAAATGACTTGCCTGTGGTCACACACCTAATAAGTTTTGGAACCAGAATTTCAATCCGTATCTCCTGACTCCAGTTCCAGCATTCTTGCTAGCTCCCTCAACTCTACTTCTCCATACCTTAAAACTCATGACCATTACTCAATCTTCTATCCCCATCTCAAAGGAAAAGTGTCCTAATATTTCCTACAGCTAATCTCTTGTACCCTTGATGCCACACACTACTACTGTCCTCTACATTCTGGCTCAAACAATCTTCCCTTTTCTTGTATATTACTATTCTCTCCCTTTCCACTGGTTCTAAGCACGTTCAAATCTCCTCAGTCACTCAAACCTTCTTCTTCTTCACCCACCAGCCTTTCTACTCATCTTTCCACATAAGGCAGAAGAGCATAATGGATAGAGCGATGAACATGGAATCAGGAAGACCTGGTTTGAAATCCCACCCGAGTATTAAGAGCCTTTCCTAAATAAGCAAATGATATGGTCAAAGGTGACCATGGACAAGATGCCCAGCCTGTCTCAGCCTCTGTTTTTTCAGCTGAAAAGTGGTATGTAGATTTAATTAAATCTTGTACCTACTTCATAGATTATTGTAAGGCTCAAATGAGATAACTGTAAAAAAAGCACCTGGCAAACTTTAGAGTGCTATATGATCAGTGATCTTTCCCTCTTTACCACCAAATTTCTTAAAAAAACAATCTCTTTCCAATATCTCCATTTCCTCACTACTTACTCACTCACTCCTTAACCTGGGTGCTCTGACTTCCATTGCTACCACTAAAATGAAGCTCATTTCCCAAAGGCAGTTAACTTTACACTATTTTGTACAAAAATAATCTGCTTTGGCTTAATAGACTTCTTCTAAAAGATTATCCAAGTATTATATGTCTGTTACAATAGAAAAGAGGAAGTATCGGGACTTAAAGAGAAGTAGACATGTTCTGCTCGACCCTGGAAGGCTAGTACTCTTCATCTTGTATTTCCCCAAGCGTCAAGCACAGTAAGTACTTACTATGTGTTGACATAATTTAGAAATTAAGTCGCCCAACTTCAAAATACAAGGTGATCACAGTAAACCAAATAATCTGCCATCAATCACGGGAGCTTGACCCTTCCCTCAATCCTTGAAAATTGATCTAATTGCTTACAGATGTAATAGTTGGTATTATGAGATTTTTATTTTAAAACCAAGCTAATACTGCCACTACAAATATCTCTTGCTTCCCCCAGAAATTCACAAACATACACAATGTTAAGCATAAGCTAACAAACAAGTACCTGGTTTCAGGATCAAGAGAAGCCACAAGTTTTTCATCTGATAATAATTTTTGCAAAGTTTGATATAATTCCACATTTGTATTTAACCTAGAAAAATTATAAATGAAAAACAAATGGATTAGTATAATTTTAAATCTTAATTTATTATTATTCAAAGAACAAAGTTAAATTCTATAATGTACATGAATAAATCTCAAAGATTTTCTTGTTTAGACTATAAATGTTACAACCATGAATAGACATCCCACAGCAATTGCTAAGTCAAAGTTCAAAGTTAATAGCAGTATAAGGATAGACACCCTTTTAAAACTGAGGCATAAAGGTTTCAACTACTATTCTTTTCTATGAGGTAGAGAATAACTGTGTCTGTTCAACATCTTTATCAATACCTTAGATTAGTGTATAAATCATTTGCTCATCATATCTGCAGATGTCATGAACCTGGAGGGGAAAGTAAAAATGCTGGACAATAATGGGTATCTAGAAAGATTTTGGTACAGACTACAACAATAGGTCACACCAAATAACAGAAAAGAAAAGGAAAGAGGAACTAATATAAAGTTCTACACTGGGGTTCAAAAAATCAACTTCAAAAGTACAGGATGGAGGGGAAAGCATTGGCTGGACCATAGCTTAGATCTTGGAGTTTCAGTAGTCAACTGGAGACAGCATTGTGAAATGGCAAGCAAAAAAATTAATTGTATTCTTGGCTATTTTGAGAGTCATAGCATTTAGAATGAATGAAGTGATTGTTCCATCGTACTTTGTCTTGGCCTGACTACATCTAAGTATCATTCAGCTCTGGATAGCACATTTTTAGGAAAAACATCGACAATTTTGAGCATCTCCAAAAGCAAGTAAAGTGTTTGGTCTGGTGAATGATTTAGTGAGTGGTTTTAATGAATGTCTGGAATGGTGAAGGAACTAGAAGTTATGCCATTGAGCAGGAGTACCCAAGGGCCTGCAAGTTAAGCATGGTTTTTAGATTTTAAAATACAATCAAACTTTATTTTAAAATGTAAAAATTATTCTTGGGTCACAGGAGTACAAGAACAGGTGGCAGGCGGTAATGGGACATGTCACCATGCAGTTTGCCAACCCCTGCTATAAAGAACTGACTGAAGGAACTGGATATGTTTAGGCTGAAGGAGAGAGGATTGGGAGATGAAGGGGGGAACTATAGCTGTTTTCAAGTATTTGAAGGATTGCCACATAGAATAATTAGATTTGTTCTGTTTGTCTGAAGAGAACAGAACTAAGTGATAAGACTCCTGGTGGTTCTCACTTGGTAGGAAGGGTAGTTTATTCCCTTTCACAAATCTGTCTTTTATTATTTTCTAATGCCTTCCAGGTTACCAGATTATTTCTCTAATGCTTGAGATAAAAGCCATTCTCAGGAGCAATTGCCAGGAAGCCTGCAGAGACATACATTTCATTCTACTGGCTGCTATTATGGCATCAGGAAGAGTTTTGAAAAAAAAGAAAGCTCACATTTATGTGTGTGCTTTATAGCATACAAAAAGGCCATCCTAAAAACTACCTTATAAAGTACAGCATACATTACACTTTATCATTAAGGAAAGAGCCCCAGAGTTAAGAGGTCAGAAACCTGGATTTGAGTCATAGCTCCAACAGTTAACTAGCTCAGAGTGATTAAATGACTTGTCCAAGTTCACAAAGCTAGTTTAGTTGGAGCTATGACTCAAATTCAGGTTTCTGACCTCTTAACTCTGGGGCTCTTTCCACAATATAGTACTGCCTAAGGATTACCCACAGTATTACCACTAAGAACATTAGCAATCAAGATGCCTTCACTTGAGGTTCTACTCCATGTCAAAGGAACAAAAGTCACAGATCTCAGATTTAGAGATGAAAGGAACCTAAAGATGCAGGTAGTAGTGGCCATCTAGTCCAACCTCATTATTTTACAGATGAGAAGAAACTGGGCCTAGAAAGTTGGGCAAATTAAATGACTTGCCCAATGTCATTAAGTAAAGGCAATCAAGTAAAGGTAAATCTTTGATTTTTGCCTTAAGAGAAATTTAAATGGACAAATTGGTGATGATCTCAACTCAAAAAAAAAAAAATTCATACTTAGATTCATAGTTGTCATTAAATCTAATTGAGGTCTTTTTTTTCACTTGATGGAAAATATAATTTCTTTATGGCTTGCAGCACACATACATCACTGATTTTCAAAATCCCTGTAAAGGCAGTGTTATACCACCTCTCAGGTGAAACTAAAGGAAAGATTATGTCACAGTGCTAGATAAAAACTAAAATTTAGGACCACCAAATGAAAATTTTTAATTATTTAATTACTCAAGGTTAAAGTAATGATAAAGAATACTAGATTCTCGAGTACTCAAAAGGAAAAACGGACCTTAAACTTCACTCTCTTACGGATACCTATACCCTTCCTATCCCAACTATACTCTATGCTCTCTGCATAGCTTAAGTGATTGAGACTTTAAAACTGCTAGGAAAGGGTCATGTCTAAATACAGATCTGGCACTGAACCTAAAATAGTGGCCTTTACTATTGTTAGAGTCCCAAGATAGACTAAAAATGTCCCATCACTCAAAAAAGAAGCCCCTAAAATTTCACCATATCCAAGAAGTCTTCTTTTCCTAAACTAAAGTGACATTCCCCAACCTCAAACTGTAATATTAGTGACTGTTTCAGGGATAGTTATGTATGGTATAAGGTGAATTTGGAGACAGAAGACACAAATTTGAATCCCAATTCTGCCTGTCACTTAGAAGATAAATCATTCCACTTGAGTTTCAACTTTCTCATCTATAAAATGGAAAAATCCCTGTCCTCACTATCTCAGTATGGTTGTTACATACAAGTTATCTTCAACTACTTCAACAGACCCATGATTTTATCAGTTTATTATACCTAGTGATACACTATCCCTCTTTTAGTCTTTTCATGGTTTCATGAGTTGATGTGGCAAAAAATTAAACAGACCACTGAGGTGAATAAAAAGCCCAAGAGACAGAGTTTCTGGGTAATTAATAATCAATTTATTAATTAGCCTAGCTAATAATCAATAAATTGATGGTCAGTAGTTTCTCTCAGTAATCAAAGACCCCTAATGGAGACACTGAATGCCTTAAATATTTTTTTTTAAAGGGAATGCCCCTGACAAGAGAACTCAATCCTGACTGGTGAATAATTAATGAGAGGGTAGGCAAAATGAAGAGACAGTCTAAAAGTCTTCAGCAATTCCTGCTGAGAACATGGCTTGATCATGAGATTCAGCTGCCTCTAGCAATCTGGACAAAGGAATCTATCTCTACCCAACCTACTCTGGTTGGTTTTCTCCTTCATGAGCTGGGTTACTCTAAATTCCAATGGAGAGGTCCAGGGACATGAACTTAATGCTTTGGAGCTGGAAATCAGCTAGTTTAGATTCTGTTTACACTCTAAACAAAAGTAAGGTCTCCAAATGGGCGGGGTCTCGTCCAAAATTGAGAAGCAAGTACCTCAAGGATTAGGCCAATCTCCTCTAAAAGCCTTGTCCTTCAGAGACTGACTGACCTACACGGGCTGGTCCCTGAATAAGGAAATAAAAAAGCCTGGATCCCAATTAATAATGGGTTATTAATATAAGAGAAAAGAATAACTTCTCTCACCCAGTAACCAACTCTTTGAGAATTAACCTCTCCTTACTAGATAGGCTGATCCTTTGACAATAGCCTGTTTCTTGATCTACACTCAACTCTCTAGTTCAGCAGTACCTTCCAGGGCTAGTACTCTGTTGACATGGCCTTCAAGAACCTGTCACCTTCAGGCTACAATGTAGCCTCAAAGTATGACTTTGATTGGATGGTCATTTTCAGCTACTAATGTTAACTAGTATGCTTCTCTCTTTCACTTATATTAAATAAATACAGATATCTTTATAATACGCAAGTTCTAAAAATTTGTCTGTCATGGTTTCTGATAGCAAGTGCACATAGGACAAGAATGGTGACTGTTCTTTTACAACAGAATATAAGCTTCATGAGGGCAGGGATTGTTTTAGAATTTGTATTCCCAGCCCCTAGCATAGGGCCTTGCACATAGGTGCTTAATAATATTTGTTGACTTCACATTTATTAGCTAAATTACAAGGTTACTGTGAGGAAGGCACTACGTAAACCTTAAAGCACCAAATAAAGAGCTCTTTGTAACTGGCATGATACTGGGTACTTAAGGACTTTCAATTAACCATATCCCTTTCTATAAATGAAGTTAAAAGGTACTTGGGGGCTGGCATAATGATGTAAAAAGCATTTAAACTACTTTTAAAGTAACTTTAAAGAAATTCACTTCTTGGCAGTTGTTATTTACTACTGGTCTCAACAGGGACCAATAATATCCAAAGATACCCTTCATCCTCAGTCAGCCTCACCAGGGAAATTTTCTTGGTTCCCAAAGCAACTTTATCTTTTTTGGGAGGGGGGGGGCAAGTGGGGTTAAGTGACTTGCCCAGGGTCACACAGCTAGTAAGTGTCAAGTGTTTGGTCTGAGGCCGGATTTGAACCCAGGTCCTCTTGACTTCAGGGCCGGTGCTCTATTCACTGCACCACCTAGCTGCACCCCCAAAGCAATTCTAACACTCCTCCTGACATGCAGACTTTACAGACACTAAACATGACATTAAACAAGTCAAAACTGTTCAGACATTAAAGGCCACAGTAACTTAGTACACGCTCAGAAATTTAGACTTATATTTGTTGTGTTTCATTGGCAAATACTATACAATAAAAGCAACAACCTAGCAACCCAAATTCATAATTTTGACAAAATAAACAACTTAATACACACATCTTCACACATGGGGTCCAATGCTTTTGTTGGCAACACAAACATTGAAGTATTAAAAGAAAAAAATCTTCCCTAACATGATTTCTTGTTATTGTGCAGCCCAATATCATAATAAATATGAACAAAACATACTTTTCTACCATGGTACCAATGTTTCTGCAGGCTTCTTCTGCTGCCTCTCTGTATGCAGGGTCAGGATGAGCAATTTTCACAAAATCAGCCTAATATAAGGAAAAGAGAAACCAAGAGGGGATATGACAGAAAATAACTTTTCCAGAATTTAAAAACAGACAAAAATTTATATTTTAAAATGTGTCATCCAGTAGTTTACATCTTCTATTTGGCTTAACCAATCTATTTCTACCAGTGAGAGTGTTTTTTCCCTAAAATGGTTTAGCAAAGGCTAGTAGTGACCATTCTGTGCTCCAAAGAAAATATTTTCAAAGCTTATTTTCAGTTTGACTGAAAAATCTTATTTCTCCAAAGAAAAAAATTTTCAAATTATGTTTTTTAAAAATTGTTTTTAAAAAATTTAGACATTTATCTAAAAAAATAAATTACTCCAAATTTTTCTTTCTCTCTCTCTCCGTCCATATATGTGTATTTTCCTGCACTAGTTCACACCTATTAATTTGGTATCACAAAATAACCTTGTAAAGCATTAGTATTTGAGATAACATGATACCTAGGAAACTTCACATGGCAGTACGGTTATGTACCTCCTCCTATCTCATCTTAGCGCGTTCTACATAAGACTTTTACTGACATAGATGAATCTCCACTTCTAACTTGGAGCTTCTATCACATTCCTAATGTTATGAAGGGTTACAATGATTATATTCAGAATTTGATTAAATTATTTTTAACTCCTTCAAAAAATTTAAAATTAAATTATAAGTAAAAAAAATTGAAACCACTAGACTGAACGCAATTTTACTTTTAATAGAAACATGCTACAAAACTCAGTAACTACAAAATGTTTTGTGGAGTCAGTGACAATGTAACATGCAATAAATGTATAAAAGACAATCAACACAAGATAAAATTCCATATTTTAATGCACATAAACATGCAAATTCATATGAGTGACACATTATTCTTTTAATAGTAACAATAAACTCAGCTTAGTATTAAAGTACATAAAATGTTAATTAATCAGAAATTTACAAAGTAATTTTTAAGTACCAAAGATAGCATACTAGAGGCAATAGAACCTCTTTCTGTTAAGAAAGAATGAAAGTGCTTAAAACCAGAAACCTTATAAACTATCTAATCCAACTCTTTCATTTTACAAATGAGGGAACTGAGGACCAGAAAGGTTAAGGGTCTTATACTCAAATCATAAATAATACTTAACATTAAAGAAAAACTTTGTCCATTTAGAATAGTGGTGAGTGAAACACAAAGTAAGCGAATAATCTGAACCCCAAAATCACTGTTTTATTATTTCTGAGAAACGGAACAATTTTTCATTTTACATTACAAACTTAAGATAGAAGTGGGCACTCCATGGAGTCATGAAGAATCAGACACAACTGAACTGGCCAACAACTTAGTTCAATAAAACTACTCTTCTACAACTAGGATAATCTTACTGGTTGCTTCATAGAGAAATATTTAAAATTTTTTATTTAATAACAATCACATATACAATATCTGGGTAATCAAAATTTGTCCTGAGATTTTTCATACTTTAAAACCATACTTTAGACCATTCATACTTTAAAACTGACATTTAGACCAAGTTAGACACTGAAAAGTAACATTTTATTCTACCAACAAGAATAAGGAAAAAAGGAACCAAAATGAGCTTCAATGCAATAAAATGAAATCAAATATCTAGGAAAAGTTAAGAAAATAAGCATGGAAAGTAACTAGGGATTATTAGTAGGCAGCAAATCAAAGGTTGCCATTTCTCTACCAAATGCCAATGCTGTCAATTCTTTATTATCTCCAGGGAATTTTAAAGCAAGCAACATCAGCTTACAAGTTTTTATTGACATAAGCAAATTAGGTGAAAGAAGCATTTCTTTGATACTATGCAGTATTCATTTAGTAATATTCATTCCATATACAGTTGGTCAAAAATACTGCTCCTGCCCTCAAGGAGCTTACAATCTATTTTACTTTAAATCCAGCAGGAAACCTTTCAAAAAAATTTGTATAAATATTTCCTCCAACCCCAGGAGACTTGGAGCAAATGTATTTTGGTCAGAGAGATGATATTAACTTTAACATGACAGGAAGCAGGAAGAGCTAACAAGCAGATAGGATGGGGAAGCTAAACAACTTTTGAACCTCTCCTAAGCTAGGTCCCCATAGCATTTGCAAAAGGCTATGCTATGAAACAGAGGTAAATACTTACATTAGATACACCCACAAAATTCAAATGACTAAAAAAAAAAAACCATAGTCTAAGAACAAATACAGGCAATCTTGAATGATCCATTGTTTTGGACTTGTATGCCACTTCCCTCCGTAAGTAGGAATAATTAAGAGTTAATCATATTTTTTGGTCCTGACAGGTAAATTTTAAGTCAGAATAACACTATTAGAAGCAAAGAAGGTTTATGTGTCTACTTTGATAAAAAAGGCTAAAGATACCATTTCAAAAATGTCAATTTGATTTTAAAACCTCATTCTAACACAACACAAATGTTCACTCATTTACTTTCAAAAAACCTACTTCATATTTCTATGTATTATAAAGATGTTACTAAAGAGTTGTGTGTAAGTCAACTTTTTTAATAAACAGAATATTATTTTAAAGGTAACAAGGAAATTTTCTATATAAAAGAATCATGTGGTGGATACTTTTATACAATGTACGATTTTTCTGTCATGAAAATAAAAGACCTAATGATGTTTTGTAAATTTGCAGTACTGAATATCAAATTCATTTAAAACAGTACATACTTGTTTGTTTGTTTTTCCATTGCTAACATATTTTCAGCTACCTAAAAAATGTCAAATATTCTTATATGGATACTATCTGAGAATCTGCTAATTTTTTTCTCAAATACAATTTTCTGGATAAACTTGTGTGTCCTATAGTTTATTAACATTGACTATTGGCAGGGGAAATTAATTAAAAATGTGGCTTATATTAAAATATTTTTTATTATTAAAGAGAAAAGTTCAAGCCTTAAAATAGATCTTACCAAATCTGCTACTTTGCACAAGGCATCTGAGAGTTGATCAAAGATACACACAGTTTGTGGTCCAAGTGGTGTAGCACATGCACTCTCTACTAGGGACTCAGCTTGTCTTAGGGCTTTTTCTTGTGCAACATGAAATCCTTCAGGAGAACTTAGCTCTGGGACACCAAACAAACCCTAAAATTCAAAGAACATTTTCAATTTATGACCAAAATATGAGAAGTAAATTTTGTCAGTATTCAGTTTCCAAAGGCACTCCTATTTTCAGTTGCTTCATCTCATTACTGTACAATCACTATCATCTCCACATCCCCCACATTAAAACACTCACCCTATGCTACAGAACCCTTGCCTGGCTCATTCTACACAAGTTAAATAAAACTGTATTTTCCATAATTAAAAAATTAGGATTTTAATATTTAAATTGGATCCTTTGAATCTCCCTCTGCCTTTATAGTAACTCTATGCTAAACTTCAAACAGGGAGTTTTCTCAGCTACCCCAATGCATGGAATCTCACCTTACATGTCATCTATTCTAACCCATACCTGAATTGAAATCCCCTCTACAAGATTCCCAGTGAGCATTCAACCATGAAGTGATGGGGAACTCACTAATACCCAAAGCAGCCCATGGTACTTGTATAGAGCTCCACCTATCAATGAGGTTTTTCTTATACTAAGCCTATATCTGACTCGGCAGCATCCACTCACTGCTTCTAGTTCTGCCCTCTAAGGCCAAACAGAACATGTCCATTCCTCTTCCGGTCCTCACTCTTCCTTTTCTGAAAAATAACAATAACATAGTACATTCATGTAATCCTTTCCACTACAAAAGTTTTATAAACTAAAAACTTTTTAAAAGTTCAAAAAATTGTGTTTAATAATAACTAGTCATGGGCAACATTATTACTAATAATAATCTATAAAATTGCTTGCATTTATAAAGTACTTTGGAATTACAAATGCCCTCTGTATGTATTATCACACTTAATCCTCACTATAACTCAGCAAGGCAAGTAGTGCATTGTATTTTTATGCACATCACACAAGAGAAAACTGAGGTTTACAGAGGTTAGGTAACTTGGCCAAGATCAGACTAGAATGCCAAAGGGAGTATTCAAACCCAGTCCAATTCTGACTTCCAGTTCAGTTCTCTCTGGAACTCCCAAAGGATTATCTATAAATTTAGAAAGATGAAAGAAATCTATTTTCTTCAACAAGAATGAGCGTTCAGCTTAGATCTCTTCCATCCTACACAACACTTTTGCAACTTTTTAATGCATTAGGGACACCATGTATTGCAATTATCTCTTTGTGTTTCCTCTACGGGGCTACTAGGTGGTACTGTGGATAGAGGGCCAGGCCTGGGGTCACGAAGACCTGAGTCCAAATTTGGTAAGGGGGTCGAACAACTGGTCAGAAGGAGATTACAGGGGTCTTTTTGCTAGCACTGAGGCAGGGCTCTGCTGCTTTGCTCATACTCAGATCCGGGTCCCGGTCCTGGGTTGTAGTCCCAGGGCAAGGAGGAAGACTAGTACAGCACAGCTTTGTGGCCACAGTGGAGGGGAAACCCTCCTCACAGTTCCAGGGCAGAAAAGAGTGCTTGTGGCCACTCACAGACAAAAGCACAGGCAAGGAAAGGAGTGAAGACACCTCTCCTTAGATCATACCACCTTGGAAGACGTAAAAACTTACAGGTCCCTAAAAATATCTCTTAACAGTTACACAAAACCCCTGAAGCTTGGGACAGTGTATCCTTCACCCTGGAAGCTGAGCCCTACTTTCACAAACAGTTAAAAGTCAAGTAACAGTCTGGGAAAATGAACAAACAACAGAAAAAAACTCTGATGACAGAAAGTTATTATGGTGACAAGGAAGATCAAAACATACACTTAGAAGAAGATAGCAAAGTCAAAGCTCCCATATCCAAAGCCCCCAAGAAAAATATGAATTGGTCTCAGGCCATGAAAGAGCTCAAAAAGGATTTTGAAAATCAAGTAAGAGAGGTAGAGGAAATATTGGGAAGATAAATGAGAGTGATGAAAGAAAATCATGAGAAAAGACACAAAAAAAATTGAAGAAAATAACACCTTAAAAAATAGACTAGGCCAAAGAGGTCCAAAAAGCCAACGAGGAGAAGAATGCCTTAAAAAGCAGAATTGGCTAAATGGAAAAGAAGGTCCAAAAGGTCACTGAAGAAAAAATTCCTTAAAAATTAGAATGGAGCAAATGGAAGCTAATGACTTTATGAGAAATCTGGAAGCAATAAAACAAAACCAAAAGAATGAAAAAATAGAAGACAATGTGAAATATCTCATTGGAAAAACAACTGTCCTGGAAAATAGATATGGAATCCATGGCTAATGTTAAAGTTAGCCATGATCAAAAAAAGAGCCTAGACATCATCTTTCAAGAAATTATGAAGGAAAAATGCCCTGAGATTCTAGTACCAGAGGGTAAAATAGAAATTGAAAGAATTCACTACTCACCTCCTGAAAGAGATCCCAAAATGAAAACTCCCAGGAATATTATAGCCAAATTCCAGAGTTCCCAGGTTAAAGAGAAAATATTGCAAGCGGCCAGAAAGAAACAATTCAAGTATTGTGGAGCCACGGTCAGGATAACACAAGATTTGGCAACTTCTACAATAAAGGATCAGAGGGCTTGGAATATGATAGTCCAGAGGGCAAAGGAGGTAGGATTACAATCAAGAATCACCTACCCAGCAAAACTGACTGTAATCCTTTAGGGGAAAAATGGATATTCAATGAGATAGAAGACTTTCAAGCATTCTTGATAAAAAGACCAGAGCTGAATACAAAATGACTTTCAAATACAAGACTCAAGAGAAGCATAAAAAGGTAAACAGGAAAGGAAAATCATAAGGAACTATAGAAGGTTAAAGTCTTTACATTCCTACATTGGAAGATGATATTTGTAACTCATAAAACCTTTCTCATTATTAGGGTAGCTAGGAGTATATATAGACAGAGGGTACAGGTGTGAGTTGAATATGAAGGGATGATATCTAAAACATAAAATTAAGATGTGAGAGAGGAAAGTCCTGGGAGAAAGAGCCAGGTACAATGGGGTAAATTATCTCACATAAAAGAGGCAAGAAAAAGCTTTTACAGTGGAGGGGAAGAAGGGAGAGGTGAGGGGGAGTGAGTGAACCTTACTCTCATCAGAACTGGCTCAAAGAAGGAATAACATACACATGTAATTGGGTATAGAAATCCATCTTACCCTATAGGAAAGTAAGAGGGGAAAGGGGATAAGAAAGGGGGGGAAGTGGTGACAGAAAGGAGGGCAGATTGGGAGAAGGGTGGTCAAAAGCAAAACACTTGAAGAGGGACAAGGTGAAAGGAGAGAGAGAATAGAATAAATGGAGGGATAGGATAGAGAGAAATATGGTTAGCAATAGTAACTATGAAAAAAAATTTGAAGGAAGTTTCTCTGATAAAGGCTTCACATGTCTCAAACATATTGAGAACTGAGTAAAATTTATAAAAAGAGCCATTTCCCCAATTGATAAATGATCAAAAGATATAATCAGTTTTCAGATGAAGTAATCAAAGCTATCTACAGCCATATGAAAAAATATTCTAACTCACTATTGATTGGAGAAATGCAAACTAAAACAATTCTGAGGGACTATCTAATACCTATTAGATTAACCAATAGGACAGAAAAAGTAAATGACAAATGTTGGAGGGAATGTGGGAAAAATGAGACATTAATGTGCTATTGTCAGAGCTGTGAACTAAGTCAACCGTTCTGTAGAGCAATTTGGAACTATGCCCAAAGGGCTATAAGACCATGAATACCCTTTGACCTAGCAGTGCCACTACTGACCCAAAAGAGATAAAAAACAAAAAGGAAAAGGACCTATATGTACAAAAATATTTATAGTACCTCTTTTTGGGGGGTAAAAAATTAGAAATTGAGGGGATGCTCATCAATTGGGGAATGGCTGAACAATCTGTGGTATGTGATTATGATGGAATACTATTGTACTATAAGAAATGATAAGCAGGATGCTCTCAGAAAAACCTGGAAAGACTTGCATGGGCTGATGCAAAGTGAAATGTACTGTGTGAAAAATAACAGCAATATTGTAAGATGATCAGCTGTGAATGACTTAGATATTCTTACAATACAACGATTCAAGCCAACTCTGAAGGACTTATGATGAAAAATGCTATCCATCCTCAGAGAAAGAACTGATGGTATCTGAATACAGACTGAAGCATACTTTTTTTTAAAACTATTTTTCTTGAGTTTTTTTTGTCTGTTTTCTTTCAAAACATGACTATTATGGATATGTTTTGCATGACTACATAAGTATAACCTATACCAAATTGCTTCTCTTCTCAATGGGAAGGGGGGAAGGGAGGAAGGGAGAGAATTTGGAACTCAAAGTTTTAAAAACAAAATGTTTTCACATGTAACTGGGGAAAAATAAAATACTAAATAAATACCAAGAAAAAATTTTTTTAAATAAAAATACAATTTCATGAACTTCAGGTTAGGAACCCTTGCCCCAGACTATACTTTCCTTGAGGAAAGGACTTTGACTTATTTGAATCTTGCACCTTTTCCAGTGCCTTACGTTCTGTGTACAACAGACTTTTATTAAAAAATATGAAAGCGCCAAAGAGATTAGTCTGAGTCTGCCCTCCCATCAGTACATGTTACAAGCCCTCCACAATCCAGCAGATGGTTCTTGAGTGTTGCTTTAGCCAAAAAGTAATCACCCTGCATCCAAACTTGTGATGAACCTTCCTGAACTGACACTCAGGAACCTGATACTAGGGAAGACAGTCTGTCCTGCATCCCTCCACCCCTTCTGGGTAAGATAAGCTGGAGCTAGCACTGAAATTGGTACAGCATCCCAGAATCCAGGCTTGCATAAGGAATCATTAACAGGATTTTATCCATATATAATATTTTTACAAAAGTATACACAGGGGTCTACTGAATTAGGTAGATCTCAATGGAGGGCTAATTAGAAAACAGAGTTCCTCAGTATAATGAAGCTCAGAGGGCTTTGCAGAGGTCTGCATCAGTAGAGGAAGTCCCTATACTCAGGAAATCTAGATCCATCCATCAGCCCTGAAAGCGTTGCTGTGTCTCAGCAAAATGCTTCATCTAGAACCAAATCCTCATAGCTCTACAAATCTGCCAGGCTTAAGAAGGTAATCAGAGGAATATTGGTGATAAAGTAGATTTGAACAAGGAAAGGGAATCTGGAGATAAATGCATGAAGCAAAAGAAAATTTTTGGCAACATTTCTGAAAAGCATATGAAGTGTACAAAAGAATGTTTTTTAAACAAGCAAGTCTTGCAGGAACCAGCAATCTACATCTGATTTGAATCAATTCTACCCTAATTTCACCTTCCACTCACAAGCTCCCTGGAAACTCTTCTCTACAAATTAAGCCACCAAGAATTACTTAAGATACCTACTTCCAAACTCAAAGGATGTTATTTCATCCTTTGTAAGGGCCCTTCCTTCACCAAATATCACAACCTTAGCAGACTCTATTCATAAAATTTCACTGGTTAAAATAATTCATGAGCTAGAACCCAGACTACTGACGATAAGCCTCTTCACACTGAGTGGGGCTGATTCTTCAATTTAGGGTCTGTCACTAGGCCTATATTCAAACCCTTCCTAGCTAAGTAAGATCTGTCAGTACTTGGGGCTCCACCGGCTGGCCTTCAAGAATCTATCAAGGTGAGTTCCATACAACAATGTCAATATGAGATGGCAGGCTAGGTCTTCATTAGATGACAGCTTGAGATTATCTATTAGTAATGAAAAAGAAATCACAGAAAAATGTAGGCATTCCCCATGGTTCTGTCCTAGCCCTCTTCTCTTATGTTCTCTAATTGGGAGAAAATACTCAAAACCCTTTAAAATCTGATGCCAGATATGTTACTCCCTTGTCATATGAACTAAGTACTGAGAAAGGAATTTATAATTTTCATGTTAATCAACACAGTATGTGTAATGAATATACTAATAATTTAGTTTTCTCAAGAGCTTCCTCTCTGGCACAGGAGTCAGACCTCACAATGAAGCGTAGACTGATTAAATCAAAACTCTGACAATACTCACAATCACTGGACTTTAAGTGAAGCAAATTGCAGAACCTGTTCCTGTCACAGAACTCTGGTTCTGTACTTTTACGGGAGATGGTCACAACAACCCCCAAAGACGTGACTCTGGAATTGCTGTATTGTGAGACTTAGGAATTTCTCATTGGAAACCACTAAATGATTGTTTGTAATTCACCTTTCCCACTCCTTCCCCAGTTGCAATTTAAGTATATAATCTGTGCTTTTACTTCAACTATGAGAACATTCCTCACTCTGAAACTACTGGATTACTGGCATTCCAAAGCAACTCCAAGCATTCTCAGGTTAGAGATTGGCTCTGTAAAAATCCTGTTAACAATACCAACCAAACTGGACTACTACTTGCTGTTTCCTGTAAGTGATATTTCATTTCTCAGCCTTTTCATAAGTGGAATTCCCCTTGCCTGAAATGTTCTCCCCTACCTCTACCCCTTGGGGTAGATCCCTTAGGACCTCTCAAGTTTCAGCTAAAATGACACCTCCTTCAAAAGTCCTTTCCTGATCCACGCCATTTCCTAACATCTCTCCCCCAACCCCAAAACTACTTTGTCTTAATTTTGCACATATTTTATATTTAATGTTCTGTGAACGTGGTGTATCCTGGTTTGACTAGGCCACTTATCAGTTATGTGACCCCCAAAATGTCACCTGTCTGTTTCCTTATCTATGAAAGTGGGAATAACACATTCTGCTGGCCTCATAGAGCATAATGTGAAGATCATGCTTTATAACCATGTAATACTGAATAAGTTAGTGTTCTTCCCGTCTTGTGTTATTTCACTCTAGTCGACAAATGCAATCCTGCTCGTGGAGGAGGTGCTAAGCCACCCTCCCCCAGCTAGTAAATATCCCCAACACTGTGACCTTCCAACCAAGCACCTGAGAATGCTCCCAAGTTCCCATAAGAACAAGGAAGTCTCACGAAATGGGTAGAGAAGCTTGGAAAGATGCAGAAGCTCAAACCAAGAACGCAGGCATGATGGATGACCTGCCTCCGGCCCCTGAAGCACTCAGGGAGGGCTGCGGTCAGGCTGGCCCTAAAAGCAGAGTGAGCGCTAGAAGGGTCTTTAAAGGTCACTCAGTCCCCATTTTGCAGATGAGAAAACTGAGGCCCACAGAGGCGAGGTGACTTGGCCAAGGTCACAGGGCCAGGCAGTGGACGCGAATCCAGGTCACGGCTCCCCACGGAACGCTTTTCCCAAGCCGCCCCTCGGGGCCGCTCACCCGGCACTCGCCGAACAGCTCCTTACGCGCGGGCTGCGCTTTGACATTGAAGGCGGCTCCGACCGGTGACCAGCTGGTACTGACCCGGCGGACACCGCGGAAGCCGCCGCCGCCGCCTCGGTTCTTTCGTAGTAGCCGCAAGGCCGCCGGCGCGCCGCCGGGGCTCAGGCTCCACAGCCTGCAAGCCTTCAGCATGCTGGGCCCAGCGGTGGCTCCCTCGCACGCCGGCTGCCCGGGAACGACTTGATGTTCCTCCGGCCCTGGGCCCCTCCTCCCCGTCAGCTCCGCGTCTCCAAGACAGCAGCCCCACGCGCTCCGGAACGCACACCGCCCACTTCCGGCTCCGGAGCAAGTCGCGAAGAGTGACGTCACTACATGCGCGCAGGAAAAGCCCCTCCCCCCGCCCTTTGCCTGCGCTTGCGTTTATGAGCCCCCGTGTGGTCGGAGTTGGAAACGGACAGAAAAGCTCATTAGTTCTTTCCCCACTGCGCAGGCTTGTCTGCGGGTAGCTCAGTACCAAGGGCTTTTTCAAGACTACGAATTCAGAGAAAATGATTTACAAGCTGATAACACAGGACTTAGAATAAGATGCTTTTTGTACTGCCTTCAAATATGAGCAAATTTCCTCCATCCTTAAGACCTTTCAAGGGCAGCTAGATGGTGCTGTGGACATAGTGCCAAACCTGGAATCAGGAAAACTCATCTCCCTGAGTTCCTATCTGGCCTCAGACACTTCCGAGCTGCGTGACCTTGGGCAAGTCACTTCACCCTGTTTGCCTCAGTTGTTGTTGTTGTTTAGTTGTCTCAGTCCTGTCCGACTCTTTATGACCCCATTTGAGGTTTTCTTGGCAAAGATACTAGAGTGGTCTGCCATTTCCTTCTCCAGCTCACTTTACAGATGAAGAACTGAGGCAAACAGGGTGAAGTGACTTGCCCAGGGTCACACAACCTGTGAAGTGTCTGAGCTGGAGAAGGAAATGGCGAACTACTCAAGTGTCTTTGCCAAGTAAACCCCAAGTGGCATGGCAAAGAGCCTGACACGACCATTCAATCCCCAGCTCTCTTCTCTTTCTCGGCCAAACTCCATGAAAAAGTTGTCTACACTAGCTTCCTCCATTTCCTCACTCCTCAACCCTTTGCAGTCTGGCTTCCAACCTGGTAACTGCTCTCCCTGGTGATCCAGATTACTGTGAAAGACTTAACTCTGGTCAATACAATGATCCAAGACCATTTCCAAGGACTCATGAGGAAAAATGTTAGAGAATTGATGAAGTCAGTACAGATAGTGTTTTTCACTTGCATTATTTTTCCTGCTTTTTTATTTGCAACATGGTTAATATGGAAATATGTTTTACATGTCTTTGCATGTATAATGGGTATCATATCACTTGGGAGGGGCTAGAGGGAGGAAGAGAACTTGGAACTAAAAAGAAGAATGTAAAAAAAATGAATTGGTCAAAAAAGAAAAGAAAAAAAAAGCTACCAACATTCTTTTAATTGCTAAATTGAACAGTCTTTTCTCAGTTCTCATCCTTCTTAACTGCAGCACTGAACACTGCTGACTACCCTCTCCTCCTGGAAACTGTCCTTTCTGGATTTTCATCACATTATTCTCTCCCACTTCACCTTCCATCCTCAGTTTCCTTTACTGACTTATCCACACCCACTTAGTACTGTGGTATTCCCCAAACTTCTGTCTTGGGCTTTTTTCTCTTCTTCCTCTACACTCTTTTAATTGATGATCTTATAAAGTCTCATGGGTTCAACTATCATCTCTATTCAAATTCTTCATATATATCCATATATCTATATCTATATCTATATCCATTACTGGGCTCTCCTGCAATACCAACTACCAGTTGGTTAGTTTGAACTGGGTGTCCCATAGGCATCTCAAACTCAACATGTCCAAAACAGAATCATTTTCTTCCTTCCCTCTCTGAAATTCCCTTTTACTCTTGGGAGGATCAGTCAGTTAAGTCAACAAGCATTTATTAAGGGCCTACTATGAGCCAAGCACTATGAAAAGCACTGAAAATACAGAGAAAGGCCCAAAAAAAGTATCTGTCCTTGAGGAGGTCACAGTCTAACAGGGAAGACAACGTGCAAACAACTATGTACAACATGATAAATATACATATATACGTATACATATAGATAGGATAAATTGGAGATGATCAGAAGAAGGGAGAAATTAGCATTAAAAGGGATCAGGAAAGGCTTCTTGTAGAAGGTGGGATTTTAGCTAGAAGTAAAAGGAAGCCAGGGAAGGGGTGGGGAACAGAAATAAAGGGGGAAAATATTCTAGGCATGGCAGACAGAGGCCAGGTTATAAAGGGTTTTAAAAGCCAAATAGAGGATTTTATATTTGATCTTAGACATGATAGGGAGTCATTGAGGTATATTGAATAGGGGAGGTAAAATGCTGAAACCCATGCTTTAGGAAGATTAGTTTGACAACCAAGTGGAAGATGGACTTGCGTGGGGAGAGATTTGAGTTATTGCAACAGTCCAAGGGTAAGGTGATGAGGGCCTGTACATAGTAGCAATGTGAGAGGAGAGAAGGAGGTGTATGCAAAAAGTGTTATAACAATAAAAATTGATAAGCCTTCGTAACAGATTTTATATGGAAAGTAAGAAAGCATGAGAAGTCAAGGATGACACCTAGGTTGCAAGCCTGGGGAATGGGGAAGATGGTGGTACCCTCAACAGTAATAAGGACATTTGGAAGGTGGGTTTTGGGGATGCGTTCAGTTTTGGATTTGCTGGGTTTAAAATATCTACAAAACATCCAGTTCAAGATATATAAAAGGCAGTTGAAGATTTGAGACTGGAGGTCAGCAAAGAGATTGGGACAGGATAAATATATTTGAAAATCATGGGAATAGATATGATAATTGAATCTATGAGAGCTGGTAAGATCATCAAGTGAAACAATGTAGAGGAAGAAGAAAAGAAGGCCCAAGACAGAGCCTTGTGGGACACCTCTGAGCATGATCTGGAAAAGAATCTAACAAGAGAGAATGATGAGGATAGATGGGTAGGAGGAGAACCAAGAGAGAACATGCCTAATGAGAAGAGCGTTCAGGAGAAGAGAGTGATCAATAGTCAAAGGTTGCAAGATTGGATCGGCCTTGGGACTCGCATCTCATCAGTACCCTCTGCCCCTCTGACTAGGGGGCAAGGAATAGCCTCAATTTTTTCAGTGAATTAAGAGTCAAGGTTTTCAGATGAGAGGGCAGGGAAGGGGGCAACAGGGAGGGAAAACACAGGAAGTTGGAGGAGGGATGAAAAAGTTTGTAAAAGCCTCTGTGAAAAGTGGGAAAATAAATCCACTAGGAATCTATAAAAGAACTGCTTTGCTGCAATGAGGACATGGTTAAGATTATGTCACATAAATTTGTTTGGAGCTAGTCAGCATGGTTTTGTGATTTTTCTCCAGCTTCGATCAGCAGCTCATGTGAACTGCATCTTTCCAATCCAGAGGCATTATACCTCCAAGTTTTGTTTGACTCTTTACTCTCACCCCACATTTCCAATTCATTGTGGGATTATGTAATTTCTTTCTCTACACATCTTTTATATATGTTCCCTTCTCTCCCCTCACAGCCATTTCCCTATTTCAAGCCCTCATCACCTCTCCCTGAACTATTACAAAAGTCTTGTTCTTCTTCTTCCTTCTTCTTTGCAATCATCTTAGTGTCTGAGGCTGGATTTGAACTCAGGTCCTTCTGACTCCAGGGGCAGTACTCTATCCACTGTACCACCTAGCTGTCCCTGTAATAGCCTTCTATTTGGTATCCCTGTTTCACGCTTCTCCCCTTTCCACTCTATCCTCTGACTCAGCTTCCAAAGTGATTTTCCTAAGGTATGTATGCCTAACTATGTTAGTACCCTGATAAATAAACTCCAATGACTCCCTGTTATATCCAGGATTAATATAAAGCCCTTTGTTTGGCATTTAACCAGAAGGTCTGATGGTACACTTTAACATTTTCTTGGGGAAAATATACACACATACTTTAAATTTTAATCTGCAGCATTAACATTCTCCATTACTTTCTTAAGTCCAGACAAACAACAAAACAATAAACCAAGCCCTGATTTGTGGTGACCACTAATTTACAAGGTACAAATACACAAATTGAAAATGTAACAATTGGCTCTCACAATCAGTCTGAGTCAGTACCAGCACAACATGGTCTTTAAAGCTCTTCACAACCTGACTTCTTCCTACCTTTCCAGTCTTCTTACATTCTGCTCCCCACCATGAGCTCTTGATCTAGCCATTCTAGTCTATGGGTTTTTCTTCATACAGGATTCTCCACCTCCTGTCTCCATACCTTTGTACTGGCTGTTTCTGATGCCTGGAATGCTCTCCCTCCCAACCTCCAACTCTTAGAATTCTTGGCTTCCTTTAAAACTTAGCTCAAGCACTACCTCCTTCCAAAGGACCTCTGTAGTCCCCCTATCATAGGTTCCCAAAGTGGATGATACCACTCCCTGGGGGGTGCTGGAACAATCCAGGGGGCAGTAGTAGTCTTGGGTGCAATTGGTGGGGTGGGGGTGTTGAATAAAAATAAGGGGGTGGTGGAAGCATTAGGAAAGAAGAGAAGATAAGAAAATTTTGAAAAACTGTTCATAGATATATTATCTGTTGTGTAACAGAGTTAAATTCACAGTGTTTACATTATTTTCCAAATAAACACACAAAATGCAAGTTAGAACCTATCAGTAGTCAAGTCTGCCAACAGGTCTTAACAAGCAAGTGTTGGCACGCTAGCGGGTTGGGCATTCTCAGGAAGTCCAGCATGCATTGGTAGGAATATGTGCGTGTAATGACTTATTCACAATTCGATACTATGTGGTTACATGACACAATATTGTATCATCAACATTTCAATGCAGGAAAAAAACCACAAATTTATGATAAATTATTAAATTTAAAATACATCATTTCAAAAAAGACTGTTAAAAGATTAAACAAAGTAGATTTCCAGGGGGGCATTGAGGAAATTTTTTTAAAAAGGGGGCAGTAGGCCAAATAAGTTTAGGAACCTCTGCCCTAAATCCTAGTACCATTCCCTCTGAGGTTATCTTCCCTCTAGTCTCTATTTATCTTTTTATCTGTTTACACTGCATTTATCTGCAGGACCTGATTTTCATATGTTATTGTTCTTTGAAGGCCTGAAAAGGTTTTGTTTGTGCTTTCTATCCCCAGGACTTAGCAGTGCCTGGAAGAGAGTAATTGCTTTAACAAATTCTTGTTAATTGTTTTGGTGAGTAAGGGGGCCGTTTATCTGGAAGTGACTAGGATGTAAAAACAAAAGGAATCAACAATAAACTTTTTTTTAAATAAAGCAACTTATTGATATCTTTTTTAAAAATAGGATACCTCCAAAAAGGTGCATGTTGGAGAGTATTTTTCCTTAACCCATTAGCTATTGCTTTAAGGTTCCCTTTAAGTTTTGAGAGGCATAACATTTTACACAAAAATGTTCAATGCAAAAAAAATGTTCCCTACATTGGTTGGTGGCTTAACAAGGTGTTTGCCTCAGAGGCATCCTTAGAGATTATTTAAACGGCTACTTAGAATCAGTTAGGTGTTAAGGTAAAAACACATAAATGGTTAAAGTGAAGGTTAGCTTCTCCTGCAGTTAACTTTAATTTGTGATCTTGGACTCCTTTGAAAAAATATTTTTGATCCTCTCTTTTAGGGGCATTACCTTCCCCTCTTTTGGTTCTGTTCACCTAGGAAATCAGGTAACTCTTCACAGAAGGGAGTGAATGAGAGGTTATATAAACAAAGACATGTCTAAATCTGCCTTCCCTGGCTACACTTCAAACAGCAGAAATACAAACCTGCAGTAATAGGGGAGGAACTAAAAAGAGGAACAAATGAGTGTCTATATATATAAACTTACTATATATATAAACTTCAGTCAAAGGGCTGCACTTGAGGACCTAGAAGATCATATGTGGCCTCGAGGCCGCAGGTTCCCCACCCCTCCTGTACCATATTGGTAAAATTTATGGCTATTCCATTCGATTGCTATTTCTGCCTATAAACCTATGTCTCTTCGACCTGGATGTAACCAGATATTCAAAGCTCAGATTTCTGGGAGTTTCAGGGTGGGGAGGGGGAGAAGAGAGATCAAGACATCGAAGTTGCAAGTTCTCCTCAGGGAGAGGTCTCTGAAGGGAGAGAAAGACTGTGGAAAGAAGCTGGCATGTAGAGGAACTGGAACATAGATCATGTCTCTGTCCCCATCTTCCCTACTAGAGACCTTAGGGAATGTGCCCTTTTGTGATATCTGGGACTCTACCTTGCTAGTTGAGATGTCACACTACCACTGGGAGAACTTATTCATTCCATGTGTAACTTCTCTGATTTCTGTTTGCTATAGGCTTGGATAAATGGGTCTATTAGCTATTTGCTCTGTGTAGTCTTTGTGTAACTGGGATTTGGTGGGAAAAGAGTCAAATCGGGAATACATAGTTTGGGATACTCCTTTCTTGTTAAGAAATCAGGAATATGTCTTGAACCTAAAACTTGTTTTCCCTAAACTAACAATATTTAGGGGCAGCTAGATAGCACAATGGATAGAGTACAGGGCTTCAAATGAAGACTTATTTTCCTGAGTTCAAATTTGGCCTCAGATACTTACTAGCTGTGTGGCCCTGGGCAAGTCACTTAACCCTGTTTGCCTCAGTTCCTCATCTGTAAAATGAGCTGGAGAAGAAAATGGCAAACCACTCCAATCTCTTTGCTAAGAAAACCCCAAATGGGGTCACAAAGAGTGGGATACAACTAAACAACAGCAACAACAATACTTAGGAAGGGTGATAGATGTAATTTTAAACTCTCTGAGGAGAGCACAAGTGGCCAGCCTTGTGACCCCAATATTTTGCACCCCTCCTGGCAGGAATCAAAGTCTTCCTCAGAGAAAAGTGGGTGGATGAGATTCTAGACATATCTTTTCATGTTTCCCTGTTAGTCACATAAGACAGACCCATGTGGACACATATAACCTACATGTGCAACACACATACACACATACTACATAAACATATGTCAAGTTGGAGTAGAAAATTACCAGGAAGGCCAGCATCCTGAACCTAGTCTGAGTAGAGGAAAAGAAGCTATTTCACTGTTCACTTATGAAACATGACCTTTACATTAGGATAAATCCATTGTGAAAGAGGTAATGCCATTCCCCAGAATAGTTAAGGAATAAATAGTATGTGAACTGAGAGGCCTTGTGTCAATAAATATCATATGATCACAACCAGTCAACATAGTAATAGGTAGGGTAACTTGGGGCACATTTTACAAGGAAATCCCTGAAACCTGCTTCAGATTCAAGGGATTGGTGGGTGATGTCTTGACTTTCCAGAGTCAAAGTTGCACAAAATCATCAGCCTCACTCTCTTCCACTATCATCAAAGTCCAGTGGCAAAAAAAAAGTCAGGAGGACTAGCGATGGCCCAGGATGCAGTGGATGACCTTGGCATTTTTGATGTCTGACCAAGCTCACTAATATTGGTGTAAGAAAATATCCCCTCACCTCCAGCTTCAGTTAGCAAGTCTGACAGACTTGTAAGGTTGCCAACTTTTGTTCTGCTCTCCCTATATAATAAAGGACCTGTGAAGACCTCCCCATAGAGATTCAATATGTGATTATACATAGGATAAATTACTAAAACATACTAGAGTCTTATGGTTATTTATGGAATTCTATTCTATCTGCAACACTCTCTACTTATGATAATGCTCCAGGAAAAGTGTGCTTTGAAGTTGTCGTGGTACAGTCTTATCAATGAGCTTGGGACACCTCAAAGCATTTGTTTCTTTTTCCTCTGTTAATTGTGGTAACATGAATCACTTTCTTCTTTATTAATACTACACAATAATTTTTCATAGTAACCTGTCAATTGGGTTACTGACCTATTGTTCATTGTGTTTCTCCTTAACTTCCCTCTTGACCACATGATCATTTCAGTGACATTTTATGCACTGTTAAATGCTCAGAAGAATATCTTAAATTTTATAACAATTGAGTACACTTATAGAGGAGAGACTTCCAAGTTTTATAAAATTTTTTCATTGGCTTCCCATTGATCTTGTTTCATGGTGGTACTTGATGTCATTAGTTATTATTGTGAATCCCAGGGATGTGTGTGTGGGTATGTCTGTGTGTGTGTATTATGTGTTGAGGGAGAAGGAAAGAAAGAGGAAAAGTAAGGGAGAAAGAGACAAGAAGATAGAGAGGGAGGAAGAAAGAGAGAGAGAGAGAGAGAGAGAGAGAGAGAGAGAGAGATGAAGAAGAGTGGGGGAAGAGGGAGAGAGGAAAAGATAAAGAGAAACACAAGAAATATTTAGCCAGGGCTTCTGTATTGGGATGAAAGTATTGCATCTATGAGATCAATTAGCAGCAACTACCAAGGGCTTGAAAAAGCTGATAGGACAGCTGTAAGGTTTAGTAACAAAATTTAAATGGATGGAAAAGTCAGAGAAAACATGTGAACCCAGTTCCAGGAACTCCCAGTCCCAAATCACTCAAGAGCACCCAAATGTCATCAATTATCATTAAACAATAATCTTTACTTTTTCCTTCACACTAAAACTTACATATAAACATAAATATGATACAAATATGTAAATATAAATATGAAGTTTTTAAACTGTGGAAAAACAGAGTAAGTAGTCCAAACACTTTCTTTGATCATGTGTGTATATGTGTGCATATATACACACATATATGCATGTATATATTCATTCATATCTCATGTTATTGTCTCCATTCTTATATTTAAAAGAAGGAAGGTGAAAGTTATGTCATAGGCAACATTGGTTTGTGGAAGTTCAGAAAATGTCAATGAGGAGATGCCTAAAATAAATTACAATAGACAGCAATTGTGGAAGATTCTAAATTTACTCTTGGGGAAAAAAGTAATTGACAGTTATGATCATTGCTAAGAATTAGCCTCCTGGTTTTGCCTCTCCATACATATTGGTGCCAGTTACAAGCATCATTACCATGTAGCAAAAAAGCTGGAAATAAAGAAGGTACCTATAGATCAAGTAATGGCTCTGAAAAAATTGTGGCATATGAATGTAATGGAATACTATTGTGCTATAAGATTCAATGAATATTAGACATTCAGAGAAGCTTAGGAAGATGTATATGAATAGAGATAGAATGAAGTAAGCAGAACTAGGAGAACATCATACATGTTTAATGCAGTAATATAAACAAAAGCAACAGTTAATGACAGCCAAACTTTGTGTAATTGAATAAGCAATCTTGGTCCAAGAGAACAGATGTTGAAACATATACACTTCCCTCCTCTCAGTAGAAGTAGAGGAGGAAAAAAATGCAGAATGTTGCATATACTCTCTCACACACATGGTCGCTGCATTTATTGTTGGTTGACTGCTTTTTAAACATTAGAAGGGAAGCTCAGTGTGAAAGAGAAAGTTGGGAAGACATGTGAAAATACAAGACACCAATAAAACTTAATTGAAAAAAATTAATGTCATGTAGATAGTAATATTAAATCAGTAAATGTCAACCCCAAACTATATATCATCATATAAAAATGGTAGGCAATGTGGGCTGTTCTAGTTGACTAATCTCTAAATAGAAGGAAGCCTGTGAATGTTGTATCATCATCCGCATCAGCAAACAAGCCATTAAACTTTTCTCCTCCAGTCACTTGCACCCACACCTCATCTCCAAGCTTTAACTCAAGGATTATGCCCCCAGAGGCCTGGTCCTCATTACCATGATAGCCATCTTTAGTATGTAGCACTTTGACCCCATTTTTAACTAAAGATACATTTATATTTCTGGAGAAAACAGTGATATGATAAGTGAAGTAATATACTCCATCAAAATGGCAAGTGAATTTTCCATTAGTTGAATTATAATGATTCTGTTTGTTATAAATGATTTTATCAAACTTAATGGGCAAATTTGAAGAGGGAAATTTGGTAAACACAGTAAGACCCACAGTAAAAGCACTTTTGGGTGAGCTTGGGGGATCACCAGTTTTCCCCTTTTCTCCTCGATCCCCTTTCCAGCCCCTTATTCCTTGGGTTCCTGGCTCACCCTTTGGTCCCATGGGACCAACATCTCCTACAGGGCCTGGCATTCCAATAGGACCAACAGGGCCAGGCAAACCAATATCTCCAGGTGGTCCAACTTCACCTTTTATCCCTTTTGGCCCAATTGGACCCACATCACCCTTAGCTCCCTTTCGTCCTTGTAGCCCGATCTCTCCTTTTTGACCTTTGTCCCCCATGGGACCAATAAATCCTTTTGGTCCATATTTCCCAGGCCATCCTCTCTGCCCTTGTTCACCTTTGTTTCCTTTTGCTTCAACTTTTCCATCTGCTCCTAAATAGAAGAAGAAAAAAAAGTGGGATTATTTGTGAAACATTTCGTTTTTGAAAGAGAGCCTTTATTTTTCTACTTAGAAGCAGTGTTGCACAGAGAGAGCACAGATTTTGGGACTAGACATGCGTTCAATTCCATTTTCAACATTTACTAGTTATAACACTATTCAATAAGTCATATAACCTTTTATAGCTTCAATTTCCTCATCTATAAAATGGGAGTTGTGGGCATACTATTTGCCTCACCAGGGTGTGAAGAAAGTACTTTGCAAATCTTAGGGTACTACATAAATATAAACCCTCTGGGCCTAGAGCTGAAAAGAAGGAATTGCCTTTAATAGAAGATTGGATTGTCTATGGAGAACTGAGTTTGGAAAGAATTTGGAGATAGACGTTCTAAAGAGAAAAGGAGATTTCCTGAGCAGTGTTGCTTCCTGGAGAAAGAAGAGGAGCACTCTTGATTTCTTCATGTAGAGAACAAAGTTAATGTCGGGGAGTAGGGCAACAGATCTGGACCTTGCTACTTCCTCTATTACAATCAATGATTTAGGCAGTGCAAGACCAATAAAAAAGGGAACTAACTATACAAAATAGATTGGTCCTCTAGGAGAAGGGGGGAGTCCAAACTGCAAGGGGCACAGTAACTCTTGAGGGAAGACTGTGTAGGACTCTACTGGAAATCTAGGGATACAGAGGAACGTCCAAAGTTTGCTATAATGGTAACCCTAAGTTCAGTTCCCCTTTGAGGAGAGTTGAAGGGCTATTCTGAATGTCTGAAATCTTTTCTGTACTGTTTAAGGATGCCCGAGAGTCCTTTGTATGCCTTATATGTTCTCTGTTTTTGTTTATGGACACAAGTGAGTTCTTTTCATGTTATATATTTTCTTTTATTTCTTTATTTCTTTATTTTGGCTAGACAATGGGGTTAAGTGACTTGCCCAGGGTCACACAGCTAGTAAGTGTTATGTTTAACACTTAGGCTGATTTTAACTCAGGTCCTCCTGAATCCAGGTCTGGTACTCTATCCACTGCGTCACCTAGCTGTCCCCATGTTATATATTTTCTGAAGAGTTAAAATAAAGGCTGTCCTACCATATATACAGATTAAGCAACCTTTTGACTTACATTTGCTTAAAAGTAAACATGGGCTGTATCTAAGCTATTCATGGAGATTCCTTAGGGGAGAATCAAGGCAAAAAGAGAGGGAGAGAAATGACATTTTTAGAGGCCTTCAGTATCAGATCCACCCTATTTGAGTCCAGAGGCTTAGGGATTAGGGGGAGGGACTGGATGATTGACTCCATAAAGATAAAAATAACAATTCCTATCATTAAGGAGCTAATAAACCAATATGGTGATATGATGTATAGACAACTATGATAAAGAGTATATTGTGACAAGAGCAGCTGAATGGTGCTACAGTGTACAGAGCCTAGAGTCAGGAGACCTGAGTGCAGACACAGCCTCAGACACTGTTGGCCTTAGTTTTCTCATCTGTAAAATGAGCTGGAGAAGAAAATGGCAAACCATTCTATTATCTTTGCCAAGAAAACCACAAATGGGGTCACAAAGAATAGGACATGACTGAAACAACTGAACAACAACAAAAATGTTGTGACAGGAGCAAAAGAGATCCAGACAAAATACTTTAACAAAACCTGATGAAGGAAGTGGGCCTGACCAGGGCCTTGATGGAAAGGAAAAATGTAAACAGAATTTCAACCTGATGCAATACAGGTTCGAGGAAATATGGTGGGCACACCAATTAACATGATCTTGCAAGTAAGAATCTGTACACAGAAATGTTTTTGATTCTTATTTATACTCATTTTGTAGATAGGGAAATTAAATTAGTGGCACTGCTGGGATTAAGTCACAACCCTTACCTTTTACTCAATTGCTTAGACTTTTACATAATATTGACTCTAAAGAGGATCTATTCCTTCAAGCAAGAAAGAGAAGCCAACTGACACACATGCTGTTACACTGTCCCAAAGTGCTTTGAATTCCCCTTGAGTGCCTGCCACAATATAGTCTTATACGTAGCAAATACCTAATAGTCAATAAGTATTTATAAATGACTACTATGTTTCCAGGCACTGTGCTAAGCACAGTGATTGAGAGTACAGAGTGAGAATATTTCTACATTAGCAAAAACAACTTTCTGACCTTGTTCTCCTTTTTCTCCATTTATGCCATCTCTTCCTGGGTTCCCAGGTAATCCTATTTCACCTGTTCAAGGGGGAAAAGCACATAACTTTAGCAGTGAGTTAGTCTTTTGAATGGAATTTAACATCAGAACTAATCATTGAACTTTTCTTATAAATGATACTATAGATCAGTAATTGTGCATATTATATGGATACAGATATCCCCTAGTCTAGTCACGTTCTAACCTTTAATCAGGGCTCTTTGTGCTATGTAAAAATAAAATAGCTGTAAAGATGATAGGATAATTTCCCCCAACAACCATCAACATAGAATCCATGAAAATATGTTTAACATGATTGTACATGTATAACCTATGTCAGATTGCTTGCTGGAGGGGGAAGATGAGGGAGAGAGGGAGAAAAATTTGGAACTCAAAATCTTATAAAAAATGAATGTTCAAAACTAATATAAATAAAATATCATTTACAAAAAAAAAAAAGAATCCATGGGATAGTAGGAAAGGAGTAGCAATTGTGTATGGTCTTTCAGACAGCAGGTAGCAATGGGTAGACCATTGGCACAATTGGAAATAATCTTTTCTCGGGAACCATGACAGTGTTACTGTCAAATAATGCTTATGTAGTCAAATGATTGAAAACGAAGTATTTCCATCATTCCTCTTCCATTTCCACCAGTCCTGCAGATTAGTGAAGGGGAACATCAATTTTCCTACTGTTAAACTATAGACGTGTCACGTTTTCAAGTCACTATAAATGGAAGGAAGAGTTTTGGAAGGACCTTGTTTAGGAAGGGGAAGTGACAGCTAAGGCAGCAGGGACATGACCACCATTGTGATAGAGATGAAAAATTTTATATAGATCAGAGACATATTGGTCCTGGCTATTTCATTTTGGGTTAACTTCATAGTTATATTTTAATAAAGAGAAGCCACACAAGAACACCACCACTAAACTAAAGGCAGTGGTAGAACAGGTCCCTGATGCAGAGCAACTGAGAAGTATCGGCAGCAAGCATCTGGGAGTGGTGAAGGCATGGTTATGTTGAATCAATGGAATGAAGATGGGAGAGAATCTTCCATGGCAAAGAAGACCAATGCCAGCCAAGTATCAGTGAGTATACATAGGGTCCTAGTGTAAAGGATCTAACCAGGTTCTTGCCTTCATTGGAGCTCTAACCAAGGCACTACTCAAAGGTACAAATACTGTGCATGTTCCTGGAGAGGGTTTGACCACTGGAAAGAGGGGGACTCTGATATTTTTCTTCTTATGAGGTGGGGCACCTAGGGTAATACTATGAGCCTAGAGAACTGTACAAGTTTCTTTAGGAAAGAGAAAATCCAACAGAAAGAAGAGAGGGAAGTTGCCTTTCTATAGCCTGAAGTGGGAGTCTTTTCTGTATTACTGTGCTTTAATAAAACCTGGTCTGTGTTTAATGCCTTGTGATCCCCAGTGCTAGTAAAGGAGAAGTGATGACCATTCTTTACAGAAGTGCCATGTACTGAAAGTTTCAGGTGTCACCTAGGTGGGGGACAATGAGCCAGGTTAATGATATAGGTGATTTTACGGCCACTCTTTGAGGGAGCATCTGACCTTTAAAATCCCAGGTTTCAACTGGGTGATTTGTATAAAGGCTTCCAAAGTGGTGCCCCAGTCCTTCGTTTCAGGATCAAGTTACTGGCAAAGGGTTATAATGAGTATATTTTTATTGGCTAAATCAGCAAGAGGCTACATGTGTTTGAACAAAAAGTAAACAAATGATAGCTATGTAGTCATCACATAGCCCATTCTGAAAAATAAATATTGCATTCTCTATTCCTCCATTTTTGAAAGTAGAGGAAATAAAAGGAGGGGTCCTTATAGTAGGGTACAAGTAGGGTAAGAACCCACTAAATTGACCCCTCCCTCCCACTGTGGTGGAACTCATAGAATGTCTGCACCATTGTGCTCTAGGGAAGTATGGCTGTCAGAACCAATAGGATACCTGTATCCCCTTTGTCACCCTTTGCTCCATCTCGTCCATCCCTTCCAGGTAAGCCATTATGCCCAGGACTCCCAGGGACGCCAGGATGCCCCTGTCTGCAGCTATCCTGTGAGACTAGGTCTTCTGTGCTGACTCCAGCCACCAGTAGTATCCACCAGATTCTCATAACTTCAGGTGTGATCTAAAAGAGCAAATACAATTATACAGAGAGGAAAACCTATTCTCCTGTGACCACAGCTCTAGCCTTTATTCTTCTCACTTGGCAGATGGCACTTAAAGATCCCAAAGAGCTCAGGGTCAGGGCTGATTTTGTGTCTTATAATCAAGAAGGAACTGAGATGAGTTTATCCTAAACAGGAAGAATGTATCTTCAGGGTTGGCCTGCCATGGCAACAGAGGAAGGCCCCCAATCTAGAAAACAAAATAAAAAACAAAAACCTGTCTCCCTCAGTGACTGCTAGTACTAGAGCAGGGCTTCTTAATTTATTTTGTGTCATAGACCCCTTTGGCAATCCACTGAGGCCTATGGACCCCTTTTCAGAATAATATTTTAACTGCATAAAATAAATTGCATAGGATTAAAAAGGAAACAAATTATATTAAAAATTATTGCTATAGTTTTAAAAAAGTAAATTTCCAGACCCCGTCATTACAAACCCCTTTTCTAAAGTAATTGCTTTGCTTCTCCAGAGCTCCTCTATTTTAAAAGCATAAATGACCATAGCTGGCACTTGTATGGTGTTTAAATGTTTTCAAGGTATTCATTAGATACATTATCTCATTTGCCCCTTACATAAAGATGCCATGGCCTAAGAATATATCACCTCATGAACAGTTAATTGGTGATAAAGCTCTACACACTTAAATATACTGGTGCTGAGGCAGCAGACACAGTCTGGTGCTGGGATGACACTCAAAGTCTTCCCAGCATAGTAGCACCCATCAGAGCCTGCACTGCACTGGCATAACCTTCCAGAGCCCAGGGAACCCCCAAATGGATGAGCCCCAACAGTGGGACTTTGGTGGAGAGGATAAATGTTTGCCAATGAATGAGGTAGAGACTCCAGGATGGATACCACAGGAACTGTTATCCCTACTCTATACAGAGAAAGCGAAGGCTGGGAGAAGCTAAATGACCTTCCTAAGGACATAGAGCTAGTAATTGTTAGAGGGAGGATTCAGACCAAGAATTCAGAGTCTCCTGACTCCGAGGGCAGAGATCTTTCCACCACATTGTGCTGCTTTACCTGGAGGGGCAGCACATTAAGGCCACTATAAACTGTTAGCACCTTAAGGCACTAGCTTAAAAGATAATTTTTCAGCTAACTGGGAATAGGGTTATATCGATGTATGAGATAGCGACAGTGAGAGAGAAAGACAGAAAGGCAGAGACACAGAAACAGAGAGCCAGAGAAAAACTCTCTCTCTCTCTCTCTCTCTCTCTCTCTCTCTCTCTCTC